GTGTTATTGAAACGGCGGTTGGTACTGGACTGTTTTATTATTAGTTGTACTGACGGTACATTATTATTGACCTACCCACATATACACTACAGTAATAAATAAATAAATTGTTATATTTAGAAAAAGGTAAAACTAATATATTGCAACAGAAATTTCAATAAAAAGACAAAACTCATAACCTTAATTCTACACAGTCTCTAGTAAATTTTATATCCGAATCAAAAGAATCTGGAAATATTCTATTATCTTACATAGATTTTCCCATTCTGTGTTCCTGACGGCAAAGAACACGATAAATCTCTAACGCGCTACCGTGCATACATTAGTCAGGAAAACGTTGTCTATTTCCCAGTAAAATACTATTACAAACAACAAATTGCTCTGTACTTCCGACTTTAACAAAGAGAAATTAACACTTTATAGACAGTTTGGATATATTTGGATAATAAATTACGATAAGATAATGTTTACTAACCTAAATGGGTAATAACGATAGGATAACATATTTAGGTATACACATATGTAGAGAAAGAAATCAGTCGTGTTACACAAATAGTAAACGAAGCAGCGAGCTCGATTTTTTTTTATTTATGTAATACTTTTGCACAAATAATACAACAGGAAGCTAAATATAAGTTATTACTTGATTTAAACAAGGGCGGCATTACTGCTAAGAGCAATCTCTTCCAACCTACCCAGTGGGACAGGAGAAGGTAGACAATGAATTATGAACTTAGTCATAATCGCGGTTTAGGCTAGGCGCCATTTGCGCTCGGCCACCTCAAGTCGGGCGAATCTATGAAAATTAAAAAACCCTTGTGTGTGTATTTAATAATTTTTGTGACTGATTTGTCACTATTTAACTTGACGAGGCATTTTAATTTTCATATATTTGCCGGACTTGAGGTGGCCGAGCGCAAATGGCGCTTAGCCTAAACCGCGATTATGACTAGGTTCAGAGCCTCCTCGGCAGCCTCTGCTCAGGCCGTTACTTTGTTATTAGAATTAACTTGAACCTGTCAGCATAACATAAAGGGGAAAGCTTGAACCCTATCAGGTACTTCCAAGAAACATGGAACTCCCTCCATAAAGGGCATGAAACTTAGGTTAGATAAGAATAATAAAAAAATCGATCGATCGATTAACTACATCTAACGGGAGAGATTAATTTGTAATTAAAAGATTAAGGACATGGAACCCTGTTTCATTAAATCCTTGCGTAATACACGAAGTAATTTAAACATTTATTGAGTGATATAAAATATATTCAATTCATTTGATATCTTACACGAAATCCACATTAAAGACGTATTGAATTCAACTGTAAACACCGATACAATATTCGTGTTTAGTGAAATGAAATCATAACGCCACAATGATTCTGATGAAAATAAATACAAAATCTATTAAAGGAGAAATATTTGAGTATATTTCTTTTACTTTATCGACCATTGTCAAACGACCTACATAAACAGACAATATGGTTTCAATCAAAGCAGACCCGTCACTAGCCGATGATCTAGGCTAGGTCTAAAGAGGCCTGCTACTAGCATTCATATTATCTTATCTATTTGACATGTTCCTCTAAGGAGGATGGCTCCCTTCCTGGCGCTACCCCTGTGCCCCTTCCTGCAACTCCAATGGAACAGAGATACCAAAAACATTTGTGTCGTATACCTGATGAAAATTTTACTTATTTCGTATTTCCCACCTTGTTCTTTGCATACTAGGAACGAGGACTACGTTAAGGATAACTGGTCTAAAAAGGACTCTGGAAAAGGAACGAAAAAAGGTATTGCGCTCAAAATTATGATTCGTTGCAACTTCTTCGTTAATTTAAAATGACCAACTGCCGTATTGAATAATGTTCCTACAAACGTCCTTATTTGTTCGTATCGATTGTCCAACTTTAGCAATAAAACCTCTCTCCACTCAATATTTGAGTCGACAAGATTCATTTTATCGTTCTCTTGACTGTTATAACTTGATCCTTGGACTTATTATGAAAAATTATATAAACTTTGTTCATTTCCTTACAATGTTAACAAAATTCTTGAATTATGTAAGAGAAATAATGGATTACTACAGACTAGCTGTTGTTCGCGAATTTGTCCGCGTGATATTAAAAAAAATAGGCGATGTTACTCACAGATATATATGACCTTTCTAGCGGTGAAGTGATTTTTGGAATCGGCCAAGTATTTTTTTAAAGTTGTTTCAATACAAACCTCTCGTCTTAAAAATATTAGTTTGAATAAAGAGTGCATTTAAATAAAATAATAAATTGTAGAAAAATAGTGCCAATAAATTATAGTAATTCCGTTCTTATTTCGTACACATTCCTATCATCACACAAAATAACCTATTTTTCGTATAAACAAGTACTAAGCCCCCGTATTAAAAATATTCAAAGTAATTCAGATTCCGTGTGAGAAAGTTTTTCGCCGACGTGTGCTGAATTAGCATTTAAATTACCGATTATACGATACCTATAATAAATATACCTGCAGAAACGTAGTCGTATAAGAATATATATTCTGTGGAATTTCTACTCTAAGAATAGGAGCACACCATTGACTAAACTATCGCACGTAAATAGCTTAATTACGTATCTTTTATAACGCTTCCGAAATCGATTTAAATCTGCTTTTAAGGCAATGATAACAAATTAAGTAACTCAGTAATACCCCTGAGGGTCAAACAGCTCGATAATCGCTATCGTTAATCCCGCGAGAGACATTCTAAGATACGTAATGACGACCCTTTTTATTGGCTTTGTGCATAAAGATATCAATGATAATCCTGATTCATAAAACATAACGTCTGAGTTTTCATTATCAAAATACATGTATTTCACATGTTGTTATACTTATTATCCTCTTTGAATAAACAGAAACAGAAAGAAATTTTAACACGATAGTTACGGTAGCCGGATTAAACGGAATATAAATTTAACTATATGAGAAAAATATTTCTCTCTCTCTTTTTAAACTTAATGAAAGGAGAAATAAAAAATACAAGTGCGATAGTGCATTCACCGTACGAAGAAGTTATAAGTAACGAAATACTCTACGTCAGCTAAGCAGCTTATAAGTTGATGTTGACAATTTCGTAATCATTAGTGGACATATTGACAGGGCTCTCGAATTAACGTGACTTCTGAAAGCTCGTGGTCTTACCCTTAATCGTTTAACTATTTTATATTTGGTATCAAGAATTTAGTATTACTTTTAGTTAACTTTACAACCTCTATAGTTATTTATGGACAGACTTAATTAGTTACTTCAGAATTGTGGTAAAGCCACTTTCACAAATAAACTAAAGAAAAACTTAGGGTGAGTTGCATCAAATCGCTGGTTATCGTAAAAGTTATAATAGGGTTACAAGTGCAAAAACATATTCTCACAGAGGTTTTATGTGTTTTTTGTTTTTACAATAGAAACATTTAAACCTGAATGTCACTAAAGTGTCAAGTTGGTGTCAAGAATGATATTTACGTAAATTAAAATGTTTGGAAATTCATGTTACGCCGATTATATTTATGTATCATACGCATGGTATTTTATAGTGACATAAACTTTTTGCCCACGAAGATGGAGAAAATGGCAGTCTTGAGAAAATAAACTAGTTTGGGCCATTATTGAAACTGTATTTACTTTACTTCTCAAATATGTAGCGCCAAAAATGAAGCAATAAAATTATACAAATATAAATGCATCCTATTTATTTTCCATATTATAAATTGTTCTTTTATGGAGGACATTTTTTTAAATAAGAGAAAAGGGACAAGCGCTGTTGCTATGGCCTTAGACACTCGAAATTTGTCCAAACTGAATGTTTGGCCAAATTTCGAGTTCCATCTTGGAAATCCATTATTTCCGAGCACGCAAGACTTTATTCTTCTGGATTACGTATAGGATAATAGTAGAGATTTTCTTTTTCCATTACTTTTTCAATTTTTTGTACTTTTGAAGATGAGAGCTTGTGACAGTTAACACTACCGAACTGACACTAACCGTAACGCTAACTATAACCGCCCAAAATCGGGCGGTTATGATTAGTGTCAAATATGACGTCATTTTGACCAGAGCAAAACTGGTGTAGCGAATATCATGAACATCCGAAGACGTAACCATCGGGAATGTGCTGGTTAAGGTTTATAGTTAGTTGATGTAACTCACCCTTAGTAAATTTTGAGGTTATTCCAAATATTACCGTTACAAATAATTTTAACTTTAACGCTAACCGGCGATATGGTGCAACTCACCCTTAATAACTAGGGAATGTTAACGAGAAAACAGCTTAATACGAAATGCAATAAAATACCCAATTTTAAATTCGAAATTCAATATAATGACGCTGTCAGTATAGTAAATAATATGTGACATTTTAAACTTCATTAACATAATATTTTTTATTAAAAACTGATGTAACAAATTAAATCTTTGAAAATATGAACGGACGATTACGACTTAACTAAACTATCCAAAATAAATGGCTCTCAAATCCATTTATTTGATCTAATTCTATTCCGGGCTGTTTTGATTTGCAAGTCGCTAATCGAGATGGATGACAATGAAGGATATGGTATAACTTTATTTTAATTTTATGAGTAATGGTTGTAGAAAATCAGTAAAGCAAATAAGTCTTCGCATATTATGACCTATGGCCAGCAGTAGGTAAACATGCAGATGAAGGTGGTGATAAATACGGTATAGGGAAGAAAAAAAATAAACCAAAAATAGAAGGAGTATTCGCCTTGAAGTAATTTGATACTAATTTTCCAGAGCGTGATGAATTAGATGACATGATAGATGGAAGTGATAGCGAAACATCAATGTCAAGATCAACGACAGCTTCAAGCATAGCTTCTAGCATGTACGATAAATGCCATTTCGTGCTTGAACTTCACGATCTACAGAAAGACAAACAAACAGTAGATAAACGCCCGGATTCAAGGGTTAAGAAGTTAAAGAAGAAAACCAAAAGTCCAGCTCCAAATAAGAAATCTGAGAGCAGCGATTCCAGTGGAAATGATGATTATACTCTAACAACATCACATGTGTCTAAGGAACAATTCTTTGACGCTCGTGAGAGTTACTACGGTCTGCCTGGTATGTCAGTTTTTTTGTAATTACTAATTAGAGTACAGACCAAAACTAGAAATGTAAATGTTTACAAATTGAACTAGAAGTTTACCCTAAATATTGTGATTAATAATGTACTATTTCCAGCCAAAGACCCTAATCGAAATCAAAATGCAACAGATGTTGATAAATTAAAGGAAATTAATGTAATAACAGAACACGCAGATCATCCTTATTTACCTCAAATAGGCATAAAGGTAATCAAACATATTAAGTAGTGGAAATCTGAAGTAGAAACTGATATAATCATCGCTAACGCTTCCCTAACTTTTTAAATTTTTGGTAACAGATTCCAGAGTCCATCGAAAAAGAAAAAAATAAATCCGATGATATCAAGCAAGCAACGAATGTAAGGAGATAAATATGAGATAATTCAATCATAGGAAAGTCACAATAGGTAAATAACAGATACTATTACAAACAAGGACGATTTTCGATTAAATAGAAACAAAGATGTCGACTACATGTGATTCATTTTTCAGAAACCAACATTTAAAGAAGCCATCATGTGGAACAGTACTCACTAAATCTTAAATTGTCAAACTTTAATTCAAATTGAAACATATATTTAAATTCAATAAATAAGAAACAACAAAATCAATGTTATTTTTATATACTTCCAGTAGTGTTATCTATCAAATCCTTATAAATAAGTAACTTCGTTGCTAAAATTTTTAATGACTTAAGATCTGAAACTCTTATAAATGCGTTGTGGTTTGAAAGGTAAAAGAAATGGCACGTCTGCGGAAATCCACGTGTATTGCCAATTTAAAGACATTTTCAAAATACCACAGTTTATAGCCTGTCTATTTTTAGAGGTCTGTGTTTATATCATTCATATTTTGTCATCACCATGGCTACAAATCACTTTAATATTTGTCACCGAGTGACTGAATTTTGTCAAAAATTATGTTATGAAGGATTCAAATTCTTAGTACTATTTATATAACGGACATTCTGTTGTATTGATGTTAAAGTCTCGAGTTTATTCTAGTCTTTCAGAAATAGTTTGGTATGCTTTATTTCATATTTCATAAATAATACAATGTGCCACAATCCCGGTGGTTGAGATTTATGAAATAACGGCAGTTTATTAACTTAAGTGCTTTTGTATTTATATTCAGTTTTTTTTTAATTTACCAATAGTATTAAAGGTACAGTGAATATTATAAATCAGCAACTTTCGTTTGTAGCAATCCAGTCTTCGAAGTACACTAACTATCAAATATATTCTTTGGTCGTTTCTGCCAATGTAATGTTAAAAGCAAACAAAACACAAGGAAATTGTAAAAGTAACGAAAAGTTGTAACAATATAACTACTAATTCGTTTTATCTATTCAATAGAAGCAAAAGTTTTCAGAAAAGTCTTTGTCTTGTACAAAGGCATCTTGTTTTGCTTTGAAGATAAAATCAAACTGTACAGAAACAAATATAGCGAATGTATATAATTTGCAAAGGATGCTTATTATGCGCCTATAAACAAACATATTTTATTGAAACATCACGACAAAAACAAGTTATAAAAATTAAAGCGATAACGCAAAACCTTTGGAAAAGAGCACATCAAAACAATTGTACACAGTTGATGTTTGATATTACGAGAAATTACCTATTCGTAAATTGGTTTTACGAGACATCAAATATTTATTGACGATATTAGACTCTCAATATAAACGGAAATCATTCACATACCCTACATTATCCTAAAAAAAAAAATTCCGTCTTCATTTCACATTCAGTGTTTACCTACCGGAATATCCTGAATGTAACAATCAATAATAAAAATATATAAAATCACATCTTCTTTAATTCACATTGGAATATTAACACAATGAAGCCTTAAATTCGAAATAAAATTCTTTCCAGGTATGGAAAAGACTTTACGTCATAAAGCTAAAAATAAAAAATCTACTGGCAAACCCAAGCCTACTAAAAAACGAAAAAGCGATGGTAAGTAAAACATTTTAATTAAATGTTATATTATATATTACTTTTAGCTAGTAACAGCTATTGCTCGCGACTACTAAAAAAAATATCACTTACGCTACTCACAGATGAATTACCTCTCAAACGGTGAAAGAATTTTTAAAATCCGCACAGTAGTTTTTGGGTAATTTCAATACATACAAAAATATAAATATTTCCTCTTTGTAATATAAAATATAGATTAACTTGTATACTATTTATCTAATCACATTATTAAAAATCTACATTTGATTCACTCGTATTGCAGGACCCAGTTGTTCAATGTTCTTAGCTGAACTTTCAAGAAAACTAGCATTAAAGAAGAAACAAGAGGAAGAATCTCCTAAAAACATAGTACGTAAGTAAATTATCCTTAGTAAGGTTCTTAGGAAAATGTATGACATTTTGTTTACTGTCCTTTGTGTTTGTAGAGACCATAATAGAAAGTATAACAAATGCTTTACCAATCAAGTTTTTCAAGAAACGTATTGAAAATAAAGAACCACCTCTAGCATTAGAGAATCTACAAACTTATGCTCCCGAACTCTTGCCTAATGATAAAATTGAAATTGTCAAAGTTGGAGATGAAAATACTACCAAAGATGAGGTTGAAATCAAGCAGGTCAATCTAGAACAAACTCCACGAAAACCACTTTTCAAAGTACCTAAAATGCCAGTCATTAACAGCGAAGTATTAAAAGTTGCTGCTGAGAGAAGTAAAAAACGAGAAGATGCGTCTGTCAATACTGGAGTGAGTAATGATGTAGCAGTTGAGTTGGCAAAGCATGTCAACACTTTAAAGAAAATATCATTGATAGCCGAAGAGTTTAATAAGAAAACAGGTAATTAACAAAAACTATCAATTAATGTACAATTATTAAAATCTAAAAAAATAACAAACTTATTTATATATTATATTTCACTCCTTGCAGCAAAAAATTTAAAAGAAATTGTAGACAGTGTCCAAGAAGAATTAATAAAGAAGTTAGAACTTGTACAAGCTGAACAAGCGTTGGAGGCAGCCAAAAATAATGACCCTACACAAAAGTCGTAAATCGAAAAAGTTTTATCGTCACAATAAAGATATCAACAGTCAAGAAGAAATTTACGCATGTCAATAACAACCAGTGTCAAACTTAGATGTCAGAAATAAAATGTGACAACGATCATTCATAAATTCATTGTAAAATTTTAAAATTATAAAAATATTAAAAGTGTTTCTTTTTAGCATATTTTGCGCGCAGCCATAAGACTCAAATTACGGTTAATACAAATAATGTTTCAATATATTTGTGCTTTCTTGGTGTTTTTGTTTATACCTGAAACATCTATTATATCACCAAACGCTCTAATATAAATTTCTTGTTTATTGCGTAATACATCAAAATGTGTAAGTATTTGTATGTACATTAAATGTGTCTTTGCGTAACCTGTGCAAAACTGTAAAGGTATTATTGGTAAAGTAGCTGAATTTACTAAGAAAATCGTAAGCTAATATTTCAATATTTCTGTTTAATTATGTTTTCAAAGATTTCAACCAGTTTTTCGAAATGGAGGAACCAGTTAAAGAGAATGCTGATGGACCATTAGTAACAAAGGATTACGTTATAGCATATGGACATTCAAAAGTCAGCAAAAATGTTGTATTTGGTATAGGTAAGAGAGGTTTGAATGAATAATATAAATCAGTATTTAAACTACTTCACATATTCATTTACAATCATCAGAAAAAGGTTAAATTTGCAAGTTCTAAATATTTCTAGGGGACATGCCTGCAGGAACCAGTAATGTTATAAGTAAGTCGGCTTTGAAGAATAAACAGAAACTAGGTAAGCTAAACACGTACACAGAATATTACATATACTTTCACAAGTCATTATCAAGAGCATAAGCATTTTTTTTTATTCCAACAGATAGATGCAGTTCAAAACCAAGTCAAATACCACGGTACAGATACCATCAAAAAGAACCACCAATATTAGAAATACCAACAAAATCAATGACAGAACATGCAAATAAAATAGAAAGAACACGACGCAAACTTTTAATGAAATCATCATTAGAAAAGATGCAACTTCACAGTCGAAGACGAGGTAAAATTTTTCTACATCATCATCATCACCAGCTCACTATACGTCCCCACCGAGGAGCTCGGAGCCTACCGTAATAAGGGGTGGCCATAGGCCATAGTCAACCACGCTGGCCCACTGCGGGTTGGTTGACTACACACATATCTTTGAATTTCTTTGCAGATATGTGCAGGTTACATCACGATGTTTTCCTTCACCGTAAGAACGTCGGGTAAATTATGTACATACGAAAATTCGAAAATCACATTGGTGCATGGCGGGATTCGTACCCAAGACCTGTAGATTACAAGTCAAGTGCTTAAACCACTGAGCCACCGACGCATACTACTACACTACACTACATAAAATTTCATAGTTTTACCTACTTTATTGATTACACTAATGTTTTGCAATTCTTTAGATATTCGTTCAGATATGCAATCTGAATCGAGTTCAGCAATAATAACTAAAGTACTTTTAGAAGAAATTAGAGGACGTCATAAAATTGGAAGTGATCGGTTAAACGGTAAGTTGTTTTTATTTTCAACAACTAAAAAAGTGTTTCTTAAATAACTTTTATCTGCAGAATGGCTAATGGAATCTGCTACGGACTATTTAAGGCCAATAGCGAACTGTTTGGGTGCAAGTAACATATCCAGTACAATGGTGCCACAAACGAGTCAAAGCGAATGTGATGTTAATACAAGAATGAGTATAGGTATCAAATTATTTTAACTAAAATTCAATGTTTCGTTCAATGTGGATGGCTGAAACGGTAGAGGAAGACTTAAGAAAGTATGGATGGATTGTGTGAAAGAGGATATGCTTAACAAGGGATTGGATTCAGATATGACGGCTGATAGAAATGTATGACGACAATTCCATAGAGATAAATGCAACTTGATGATGATGATGGTTAAAGAATGAATAATGTTTCATTTGTTTTATAGAGAAAAGGTTAATAGAAGCATTATCTAATAAAAATCATAATGCTATTATAGCGTTGGATAAAAATATGCCCTATATTGCATTTGAGGACTTGGAACTAGATATGAGACCTGAACATGATGTATCTAACAATGATCATATAAAAGGTAAGATAACGTACACTTTAAAATGATTTTCTTAGAGAATGCCGTCAGATTGAGTAATCGCAAGATACATGGTAGAAAAATATGAAATGCTCACGCTTAGGTAATAATTAATTTAATATTTTAGATCATGTTAATGAAATAGTCAATCAGAAAAATACAGAAGTCACGACTAACGCTGTATTTGAAAATTGTATACTGAAGACAAAAGAATACTTCAAATCCAAATCGCAGCGGAAAAAAGCAGAAAAGGGTAACATTTGCAATTAACATTTAAAATTTTAAGTGATGAAAGAAATCCATATTCTCTGATATTAGATTTATTGGATTGTTTCAAAAACATGTAGCAAATTGCAAGAGATTAATTGAGAAATCACGACGGTTTTAAACTATAGTTGTTACGTAAACATCATGGTGTATTTACTATACTTTTAATTATAGATGTAGAAAAGATTACCGAAAGAAAAGCTCACAGCCGCGTCGATGATGCCGAATTAGATACAAACGAAATGAAGAAATGTATTCAATACAATGTCGGAAGTGGTGGTAATTATTTTTTAATTATAAAATATTTAAGTTTGAGATGGTTCATTGCAATATTTGGAATGCTTTACATTTTATCATTTCTCGTTTACTATTTAGGTGATCATCTTACAGAAACAGAACGCAACGATTTATCTGGAACAATGTATGACGCAACAGAACATATGCCTACATCATCTTATATTGATTGTCCTTCGGAGATTCTTCAAAGGATGACGAATCTAGAAGCTGAAGGTTTAGATTTTTTAATCATATTCCGTTTTGTCGTTATTCATTTATTAAAATAATATTGTTTTCAAGGTTATGATATTGCAAGTACAGTATCTGGAACTGATATTGAAATTCGTGATGATTTTCTAAGCAATTATAATTTCGAACAAGCGTATTCTAGTTTAATGGAAGGTCGCAGTGAAAATTGGATACTGGACAATTGTAATGATAGTTTATGTTGTATCGAGGAGCCAGTCGCACAGGAGCCAAATATTTGCAAACTGTGTACATCTTGTGCTAAAGACAAAAAACAAAAGAAAGGTAAAAAACAACTGAACTGACATGAAATTGACAATTAATACCTTTTATTCCGGTTTCCAATCCACCAATTTCAACATCTAATCTTAATATCATTGGTCAATTCTTTTTTTACTTTGTCATAGAATCAGTACCCAACAATTACTATGAATTATTTCAGGTGCACGTGATTCTCATGATTACCATCATCATTACTGCTGGAGACGAGAAGTTGCAAAGAAATGCAGTGAAAGAACTGTACGATACAGGGGACGTTGCAAAAAGTGTCATAAACATAGAAACAATCAGATACGAAGTTAGTTTTCAAATGATTCAACTCTTGCACATTGAAAATAGTAGAAAACACATACAATTTTTTACGAAACCTTGTAGTGGTTATTTACCACCATAATTAAACAATTTAATATTGTTCAAAATACTTAGATGTTGAAATGTCAATGTCGTTCTTGTAGGTCTATGTCACTGTCAATGTCAACGGGAAAATGTAAGAGTCTAAAACGGATAGAGTAAAATCGCGAGGGTATTTGTAATGTTTTGCAAACATGTGTAAAAATTTTACTTCTTATTTGTAGACTGTAAAGTTTTCTTATTTCAATCAACAGTAACAATTAATTAATTTTAACAGTTCCTCGGCCGTTTATAACGTTCACAAAACACTTCTCCGTGGGTAGAATCTGCAGACGACGATGGAACCTCATGTGGAAAGGGACGGCAGAGAGATGGGCCAGCAAACCCAAGTCTCATTCTAGGTGTAGAACGTGTAAGTAAACCTACACTTTGTAGATTTTTGTTCCATGAAAATTTAAAAAAAAACATTGATGTTAAACCATGAAGAAATTGATAAAGTAATTAGAATATGTTTTTCCAGTCGCCACTGTGCTGGATTTGCAAAGGTCCGGGTTCTGGGAAAATGCCGACGTCCAAACGACCGTGTTGCTCTACCATGAAGCAGGTAAATGATGTGTGAAAGGGCCCTAACGGCTGCGAACTGTAAGCCAGATGGACCAATAATAGATAAAGTTTAGAGACCCTTTTCCTACTTTTCTTCGAACTAAATAGTAGTATTTTACTTCATTTTATGATTGAAATTATATCTTACTTCTTACTAATATTATAAGGTGAAAGTTTAGATGGATGGATGAATGTTTATTAGAGTTTGTAGCCTAAACAGCTGAATAGATTTTGATGAAATTTGGTACAGATGTAGGTGGTAGTCTGGACGAAAACATAGGTTACTCACTTTTTGTTTAATTCCACGCGGACGGAGTCACGGGCGAAAGCTAGTTTTCTATAGATGTTTTAGTCGAAGTTAGGGTAGAAATATTATTAGAAAAAATATGTTTAAAGGGTGGTCCGCAACGAAATCAAAAATATGTGACTTTCTTTTTCTGCTAAAATACTTTTCAAATATCATTATTTCGCTTCGTCAATCCCACTCAGATTTACAACATTTCCACTTCAAAATAATAGCGAAACGAAATACACCAAAATTGAAGTAATCCAAATGAATGGGCGCCATTCCCGCGCTGATGCGACGGTACTTTCCTAATCCGATAAATAATAACATAACTTTTATTTCATCTTCCATACTCTATTCATCTGTAAAATTGCTAAGGGTTGTACGTAAAATATTTTAAGGAATAATTCCCTATACTGATTTAGGAATCTAAAGGCGTAAAATACAAGTAATACAAAGCCTTAATTCGTGACTAATTTTCCACAATATTGTTATTGCAAAAAAAAAATAGTAGCGTAATACATACAAAAACAAACAATTATCTCATAATCTTACTAATATTATAAATGCGAAAGTTTAGATAGATGGATGTTTTGTAGTTTGTAGCCTAAACGGCTGAAAGGATTTCGATAAAATTTGGTATAGATGTAGAAGATAGCCCGGAAGAACACATAGGCATTTTCGTTTTTTTTTAAATCCCCGCGGACGGAGTTGCGAGCAAAAGCTAGTGCTTTGTAAGTTACTATGAAGTACACTATTCGCTTTAAAATTTTCTTGTACTTTTAACAAGTTTTATTAATTATGTATTTGAATTTAATTTTCAACGTTTAAATGCTCAAGGATTTAAGCTGTGGGTTATTCCTTTGATACAGTACAATAGAGAAATTTTATTTGACAATCGCAAGCCGCGATTTCACGGAGTTTTGTGTGCCCGTGCCCTAAATTAAAGTACTTTGGCGCGTAAATCGCGCGCCCATTTCCTTTCTGCGGTCTGTGACATGCTTTTACTTTTTAGGGACGGACGCGGTCGCTAAGGAGCAGAAATCCACTGGTATTGTACCGCCACCTAAGCTGTATTCGGAAGCCTGTACCAAAATTGAATCAGGTTTTTTAATATTGTTATGTACTTAAACGCTTAAGATTAAAATAACACCCTGTATCTTTGAAACAGTTTGAGTTTTGTACGCACAGATTACGAAGATACAGTCTGTACCATTTGAGAGACCTTAGAATAGTTTTTAGATAAAAAAAAATCTTGCCATTAGTTAACGATGTTTCCAATGAATTTGTAATTGAATAGCTATTGATCACCGCTGAAGACTACATCAGCCAAAATCAAATTAGGCGCCGTTCGTAAATCGTAATACGGTTTAGTAAGAAATTTATTAGATTCCCGATAAACAAATTTGGTCCTCGATAAACGCAAATTAAACGAATTGTTAGGTATGTAAGGTATTATTGAAAATAACTTAGAATTAATCTTACTAATATTATAAATGCGAAAGTTTAGATGGATGGATGTTTGTTAGAGTTTGTAGCCTAAACTACTGAACGGATCTCGGTGAAATTTGCCATAGATGTATAGAATACCCTGGAAGAACACTTTTGTTTTGTTTTTTAGTCCACGCGGACGGAGTCGCGGGCGTAAGCTAGTCTTATAATAATTTAATATGGCATGTACACCTATGTAAATCATGACGAGGAGAGTTATAATCTGACTTATCCATTTTGGTACATTTCGGTATTGTGGAACCAACCAAATTAATCCAGCTATCTATGTCTTTTTATGGTAAAGACTAGCGACGCATAGGTTATCATAGTAGCACGCTTGTAATGGTAAATATTGCAATAATAATTTTATTACAATCATTATAAAAATGTATTGTTTCAGACACATCAATCGATAACAATCAATTGCAAAAACAACAGACGCAAATAGGAACATCAACGGCTATAAAATACACGAGTAAGAATTTAAACGTTTTACAGAAATGTTTATTTTTGTGTCTGCATTTTCATATTATCATGTTTGTTTTAGAAAACAATTCACCAGAGCAAACGGGAAAAATCAACCATCCAATTAATAATGCAACGAAATTATACAAAACTGACATATCCACGTGTATAGATCCGATGGAAGACTTGAATCGGACTACAACAGTTGTCACCTTAAAGGAGAAAGGTAAAATATTTCTCTATTGTTATATTTTTCACAAAATTATACAATTTAAATAAAAACAATTGATTTGTGAATGACGAGAAATAATGAATGAACTGAGTAACTTTATTACCAACAGTCAACATAAGAACTTTTGAGTCAAGTTCTTTGGAAATTGCTTCTATAATTTATTAATTTTTGTGTTACCACAATGTGAAGATTTTAGACACATTTCTGACAGTTTTATTAATTTCAGGGATTAACAAAAACACTGATTACACAAACTCTACGAAGTACAGAAGCCAAATTGATCGAGCTATAGGCAAGTAATTACAAAAATTCAATATAAAAAATAAACCAGATTATAATTTTTGATCGCAAACCGATAACTTCCTTTATAACCAACTAGCTGTTCCTCGCAACTTCGTCTATGTGGAATTACAAAAAAATATAGCTCATGTTACAAAGAATTTTTGAAAACGGCCTAGTTTTTCGTGTTATTGCAATAAACGCAAAACGCAAAAAAAAAAAATCAAATCTTTCCTCTTTATAATATTAGGTAGATAGATGTGCCGTTAAAACATTTTTAATTCATTAAAATATCAGTGTGTACTTTTAACCAATCAACGGAGTTATATTACTACAATTTGAGGTAATTTAAACCTATAAATTCTATATTTTAAAGCCTGTTATTATTCTAAGCATAAATAAGCCTACGACTAGATAAAACTGGAGGAATATAAGGAGAAAATTCCTTGGATGAATAAAACACATCCTACGCAATACTGTCTGCCGTGGGTGGTAATATGTATGTGCAAGAATGTCTTCTAACCGTAACATTACTTTGAATGCCGAACGGCGAAAATCGCTTACAAGTATGAATAAACTGAGCATAAAGTTTTGCTATTTTCTGATACAATTTCTCTAATTTTTGTTTCAATACTTATATTCCAACACTTTCTATGATCGTCGGTCTCTTTTGCTCTCTTACGCTTCGTATCTTCGTTCTCCCTCATGTAACGAAATGTGCTTAATCGCGTCCTTGAATTATGACATTACAATATTTGCATTTAAAATATTTATTGTATTTTTTACAGAAACTGATGGATCTTTACTATTGATTACTAAGAAGAGATCTTCAGTATCGGTAACTTCAGATATAGCTATGGTTGTTAATTTAAACGCTCATGAGGCATTCAATCAAACTGATGAATTGGAACAAGTAGATACAGGTAGGAATGTTAATGAAATATCAAGTAAAATAAATAATAGTTTTAAATCTATGAATTGTTAAATCACGATCGAACTAAATGTTCTATGGCGTTAATACTATTTGTAAGTATATCTTATTCATAACGAGCTGTCGCCCGCAAACTTCGTTAGCGTGGAATTAAAAAAAATGGTCGTCTATAACATTCCCGCATGGATCTACCTTCTACCAGCTATCTTTCGGTCAAAGTCCCGTCCAAATCGGTCCAACCGTTCCAGAGATAGCGGTCCGGTCGCCATTTTGACAGCGCGGAATTAAAAAAGGAACCTATATGTCTGTCTATGTCAGCTACCCTCCAGTGAAAGTCCGGTCAAAATCGGCCCAGCCGTTTCGAAGTTAACCGGAACAAACGCGGCTTGCAGACAGACAGACAGAAAGACAAACATTTTTTAAATGCGTTATCAGCAACGCAAATACATCATCTTCCGGAAATCTGGAATTTTTCTTTTGATATTACAAACAGACACTTCAATTTTATTATATATATAGAGTATAGATAAAATAGGTACGCTTGTACTTTATTAAGAAAGAATTAAAAATGTAAATTAAAAAGTTTTATAGGGTATATTAAATACTAATCGATTTTAATATTTTGTGTAATTTCAGAAGCAAACGTCAATTATAATAACTCGTTGGAGATTTCATGTGATGACAGTTCTTTGTTCAGTTACGACGTCGACTTTTACAAACCGCACGCTGTAGAGACAGGCAAGTGGAATGTTGATAGTTTTAAATAGTTAATAATACCATTAAAAACTGATATATAAGGCCTGTAATTAAAAAAAGAATAATTTAAAGTGCACATTTTAATCTATTGCATACCAAAGTAGATTTTTGTCAGTTGTTTTAAAATTGAATAATGTAAAAAAACTGAATCTAGAAAAACAACAATACTTAAATTAACGACACTACATTGTATTAAAATAGTGTTAGATTAATTGACGGAAAAAATACCTAGTGGGTTATTTAAAAAAACTAAGATTTAGGTTATATGTAGTAAAGCTTTAATAATGAATTAATCATGTTTTAAGTTAGTCAAATAACGATAAGTAGTGAACCTTTTTCAGAGTCGGTCGAGTATGGATACCCTCAATCACAACGCACAATACGAATGGTAAAGCCGAAAGTGTCACGAAGACGTTCCAGTGCCGGAGGTTGGATGTTTTCCTAATCCCACAGAAACTTGTTTATAATGTTGCACAGTTCGTTATTACGTAAAAAGACGCTAAGATTTTTTTTTTAAATGCAACCCCTAAAATATTAAAGTAGGAAAAATGTGTATGGAGAAATGTTATGCTGCAGAAAAATTACTTAATGTTTTCCAAGTTATGTCCGATTTTGTTCCGTTATTTGTGACTACTAAAATAATATTTTAATCCTTAGGTCAAGATCTGGAGCTCACCTCGCATCATAATGTTGGTATAATTACATCGAATAAAATGTTGTCACCACCAAGAGGTATTATTCAATGTATTATTATGTACTAGCCTTAGTCCGCGACTCCGTCCGTATAAGATTTAAAAAATAGCGTGTGTGTCATTCTGTGTCAAATTTCATCGAGATCAGTTCAGTTGTTTATTATAAAAACTCTAAGAAACATCTATCAATCTAAACATTAGCAATAAAAAAGTAAGATTACTTCAAATAATTCTATTTTCATAACCATAAATCTAGTTCAAAAGCTATCTTTTTTCTCTCTACCCTATAAAATGTTAAAGTATTTTAAAAGTCCAATATTACTTAGTGATAATTATAGGGTTATTACACACGATAAAGTATTTCCATGTAGATGGAGCCTTAATGGAAGCAGCCTATAGATACGAATGACCGACCATTATATCGCTATTAACATGTTATAGTCATAAACAATCGCTGGCCAGGATTACGTTCAATACAATAGCCCCGTTGCCAAGATGTTAATGCGACACAAAATAGCTCTTAAGATTGGGAGTTTCGTTGATACATTTACATGTTTTTGATAGAATTTCTTCTTTATCTATTTAGCTACATTTTTCTGTTAACTATCCCTAAGTTATGCGCTTTAAATATTCATTTTTCTTAATACCTAATTGTTAACCCTTACTTTGATAGTGTATAGTGACGAACAGCTAATTTAAATAAATCGACTGAACTAGTTTAGCGAAAAATATGTCATCATCATCTCCCCTGCCTTATCCTACTCTAGTAAGGTCAGCACACCGGGTTTTCGTCCTCCACATAATTCTATCATCCGTCGTATCAGTGATCACTCCTTTCTTGATCATGTCTCCTTTGACGCAATCCATCCATCTCTTTCTAGGTCTACCTCTACCGGTGTACCCCTCCACATTCATAACTAGCGTCCGTTTCGTTACATGCGACCCATCCCTTCTCACATGCCCATACCGCACTTTAGCGAAAAATATGTGAGATTTTGACTTTATTGTGTTGGTAACATATGAGATTTTTTTTGCTACAAAAACTCTGTCGATATAAGGTTTAAAGGTTAGAAAATATTGTATAATATTATAAATGCGAAAGTTTAGATGGATGGATGGATAGATGGATGGATGGATGTTTGTTAGCGTTTGTATCCTAAACGGCTGAACGGATCTCCATGAAATTTGGCACAGGTTTAGAGGATAGTCTGGAAGAACACATAGGCTACTTTTTATCCCTAGAATAGTTACAGTCCCGTGGGATTCATTAATTTAGTTTTTTAATGTTTACTCGATCATTCTGCAATGGTTTAACATATCTTATTGAAATTTGGCACAGATATAAAACAAAGTCTGGAGTACACATGGGATAAGCTTCATCCCCGAGAAATGTCCGGTTCTCAAGGGATACGTAGCTTTTTGCAATTTTATAGTTTGTATGTTTTCTAATATCACGCGTACGAAGTCGAGGGCAACAGCTCGTATTGTATTATATTAAGCACTGTTTTCTTCTTTCTGTTCTAGGAAACATAAATTCATCCAGACATCTAGTTTACACGTCAGATAAATCTGGGGATACACTATCTACTGATGTCCGTTCGTGTGATTGTAAGTTACATGTTTTTCAAAGATGTATAAAAAAAAAACAATATAAACATCCACCTTTATTTCAACTATTACTAATTAATTTAACATTTACATAATAAAAAATCCTTATGCATAAAAATCTCTATTTTTAATATCGACATGGATGATTTTTACGTTTAAATAAAAAGTTAAAAAAATTACAGACAGCAAATTATTAATTTCGTCAAGCGCTGATACAGAAGATCAAGATGACGATGAAAAAGACGCCAGTACTGGTAATTTAATATTAGTATTCATTTTGATAAATTTTAATTCTTTGGTAAATGAAAGACATGGAATTATCACATGTAATTTAGTGTATTTAGTGCAGGCGAAAATACAAATTTTAAAACAGAGTAATAGTACCAGCTACTGGTACAATACACATGCCAGTAAAATATTCAAGTGATACGCGCCGAGATACGTCTGTGTACTCTTCGAACTCCTCGACCTCTCTTTCAATTTAAGGCTAGAAAAAAAAGATTATTAAGAGCCTGTCCCACCACTGGCTGATAAAGGTTCAGATAGCTTAAAAATGACGTTACTGTCAGATAAGGTAACAAAATTCGATATTTCCATCACATATTTTACACGTTGGATTGTTATCAGATAATTTACAATTTAGTGGGCCTTCCCCTAATGTTTTTGTTGCATTTAAAGTTGTATTTTTTTCTCTAGAAGGGATGGCACAATTTAACGATTTGACAAAGGAAACGTCGAGATATCTTTGCAGCCGACAATATGACACAAACGCTCATGGTAAGTTGCTAATGCAATCTAAAATATGATAGTCTGTGAAATACATTTAAAAAAATACATTTAATAAACATTTTTTACTCAAACATTAACAAATACATAGAACAAGTTTTATGCATTTTACTCTCTGATTTACTTATTTCTGTTCGTTCGTTTATTATATTTTTTTTTAGTTTTTTTTTAAACTAAAGTTATTATTTGACTTAGGAACGTACACGGGAAGTTCATTCTTTATAGAAGCTATTGACAGGGATACAAATACAAACATATGCGATATCTATATAGATACAGGTATGTAATCTATATTTATACTAATATTATAAAGAGCAAAGTTTTTTTTGTATTCTTGTATGTATTGAAATAACGCATAAACTACTTTTCCCATTACAAAAAATCATTCACTACTAAAAAGCTACGTTATCACTGAGTAACATAGGCTATATTTTGAAATTTCACATGAATGAAGTCGCGAGTAACTTAGCTATATTTAATTTAGTTTATAGTCTTAATGTAAAAACAACTTATTGGTTTACAAAACAATAACAGTTTTAACAGCTGTCAGCTGACATTCGCGATTTTCACCGCGCGTAGTTAAAAAAAAAACTTTGTTAATAAACTATGTGTTCATCCAGACTATGCTCTACTTGAATGCCGAATTTCAGCGACATCTGTTACATCGTTCTGGAGATACGTAGTAACGAACATTCATCCATGTAAACTATTGCATTTATAATTTAAATATGATTTCTTAATTTTTAGCTGTCTCATCGCCAAATTTAATTGAAACGTGCAATTTTAACGGAGGCCCAGTAACACACCATGTTCATAAAGGCAAGTACAAAAGCATTTTAAAATACCTTTAACAAACTAATATGATTTTCAAAACTTTCCTAGGAAAAACCAGGCGATATTGCTAAACCATTTTTGAAACACTTTTCAATGTTATTCGACTAACATTTTTTATTATCATCATCATCAACAACTTGCCCTTATCCCTTACGGTGGGTCGGCACAGTATGTGCTGCTCTTCCATACATCTCTATCAACCTCTTTCAAGCAATCCATCCATACTTTCATCGGTCTTCCTCTTCCTTTGTAGCCATCATTCCTAACACTTTCTGGTTTATGTCCCCATTATCTCGTCGCATAACATATCCATACCACGCTAACCTTTTTCTTCTCAATTTCTCCACTTTTTATTATCATAATTAGAAATAGACTTTTGATTAAATATATTTACCGTTCTAATTATTTTTTTGTTTCAGCTGTGTCAACTCAAGGCTTAGTGCAAAGATACTCTTTTAATGGCGGATCGCATCGATCTCAACGTAGTTTTACTGCAGGTAATTTCTAATCTATGGCACATATGTATAAATTATGTTATTATTCTAATGATTTAATTTTCTCCTGTCCTTAACTCTTCATAGTAAAATTAAAAGATGAAACAAAGGAATGTGTCGTCGCCCTGCGGCGCCGTCAAAAGACCTAAATTCCATGATCACTATATCACACTTTCTAACATTCAAAACATATTCATTTCGCTCACGACTCCGTTCTCGTGGAATAAAAAAAAAGAAAAGTGAGTAGACTGTGTTCTTCCAGACTATCCTCTACATCTGTACAAAATATCATCGACATCCCTTCAGCCGTTTAGGCTACAAACTCTAACAAACATCCATCCACCTAAACTTTCGCACTTATATTATGATGATGTAAAAGTTTACATGGATGGATGGATGTTTGTTAGAGTTTGTACTAAATGGCTGAACGGATGTCAATAATATTTTGTAGAGGATAATCTGGAAGAACACATAGGCAGGCTACTCACTTTTGTATTTTTTATTCCACGCGAACGGATTCGCGGGCAAAACCTAGTTAGTGTTATAATTCAGAAACCAGCAGGTCTTTGAATCGAGAGAGATTACTTTATAGAAGTTTTCATAAAAATAAAAAAATAATATACGTATGCAATAATGGTTTGTTCGAAAATGATGAGGCTACTGCCCCCATCTATAAACGCCACCCTCTCGACAATTTATCCCCTCATCAGAGCGTAAGTAATGACAAAATCGTGTAATGTAAATCGACCGATGACCCGTTTCTGTTTTTTAATGTATGTGCCGTATGAAGCTTAAATGTATGAAATATTAAGCGTGAAAAATATTGTAAATATGGAATTGAAAATTCTTTTCTTTGGTGAATGTTTTGCTAGAACTCAAATAATGTATAATCAAAACGACCCATGGTAATGTGAAGGGATAGTGGGTTGCTACCGACTTAGCCATAAAACTGAAAATATTAAAAATAGATGTATAAAATACTTCAAAACACTAAAGCGTATATTCAATAACACGTAGATAAGTCAATAATTTTAATATTGAACCCCCTTTGAGTATCCGCTACGGGGACGGTTTTGAACGTAAAGTGTCATCTATTACACAGATGTGCATCCGGACTACACGACTAATTGCACAAGTATGACAGAGCAGTCGATCACCAAGCCGGCGGGAGTTAAGAGCGCACTTATACGAGATATTGAGAAGCAGTCGGGTTTTGAAGACAAATCGCATACATACAGTAATATTGTATACATTTTTATTGAGTTCACTGCATACGTTAACATTGAAATATGTTTTAATTCCGACAAGATAGGATAGCATGATTTATGCAGAATGTAATTTTTAAAATATATTTTAACGAAACGTATCATTAGTATTTTTTTTTAAATATTATAATTATTGAAACATAAATAAAAAAAACTCGAATGGGGGATTGGAACGTAAATCCTTCATGTTTTATTGTAATATTTTTAATAATATTATCATAATTTTTATACTAATCAACATATTTTTCAGATTCCAGTGACTCTTCGTCTTCGGGAACTTTTAAAGTCTCGCCAGCAAAGAGAGCTGTAGCTATCCAAGTGGTACTCGATAATACAGGCCATGGTAAATATATCTTACCTCTTACTAATATTATAAATGCGAAAGTATAGATGAATTGATGTTTGTTAGAGCTTATAGCGTAAACGTCTCAACGGATACGGATGAAATTCGGCATAGACTGAGACGATAGTCTAGAAGAACCCCTTAGAAGAGAGTAGCTTTACTTAGTTTGTTTAATTCAAACCACCCGTAGTCGAGAGCGAAAGTTAGTTTTGTATATGATCTGAAAAATCCTATAACCTCTATTACATCTACCAAGTATAATGGCGAGGCCACTGTCTCTAGAACATTCTAGGCCGAGCGCTCAGTATTAGACACGGTAACCATGTATGTGATTCAATCCATTTACATAAATAAATATGAGTTAAATTGAATGTAAATATAAAAGGTGTATTAATTTATCGACCTTTTACCACGAACACGTTCGGAAAGCCATTACAATAACATAGAAGAAACGCTTTACGTACAATGTAATTACGTCGGCCCGTTCCGAGTAAATTGTTATCCATTTTTTTTCCAAGCTTTATTCATGAAATCTCATACATTTGTGCGAAATGGGTCGGAAAGATAGATTGCCCGGACAGGTGAGCCGGATAGTTATTCATTGGTCTTGAGGTTACGGTTTTACAATTTATCAGGACATTATGAAAATGTGATAAATCTTACTTATATTATAAATGTGAAAGTTTAGAGGGATGTTTGTTAGTTTGCCGCCTGAACGGCTGAACGAATATCTATGAAATTTGGCAAAAATCTAAAGCAGAATCTGGAAGAACGGATAGATTACCTTTTGAATTCCACGCGGACAGAGTCGCGGGTGAAATTTAGTATTAATATAGTCGCAAATATTTTTTTTAATGTAACTTTGTTTATAGTTGTGTAAAATTTATGAACATGAATTTCCATTTCTTTAACACGTGTATCTGTTTTGATAGATGTCAAGTCTCGAAGGGTTCTAAGCACATCGGTAGGAATCTTCACATCACTTCACGGACTTTCCCAATCAATACAGACTCCATACAACAAACTGGCGATTGATAATGGTAGGCATAAGTTTATTTTTAAATTCTATTTAAAATAGCGAAATAGTTATTGCCGTATAAATACATATATTACAATGAAAATTGTTACATTTTCAACTAAATAAAAAAAACAAAACAAAAGTCTATCAAATCATAGCAACTAAAAAGCCACCAAGTAGTAACAGGGATATATTTTCTGATATTAGCTTGCTAAACGTAAGTTATTTTTATTGTTTAGAATTGGGCTTCAAATTGATACCGGCTACGTCACAAGGCACATACACGTCATGCCACATGGCCGGTGCTGCAGTGCAAACCGCTTTCAAGACTGTAAAGAAAAGTATAGGTATGTTTTTTAATTAACATATTCAAAAGGCCTCTTTTAATGGCATCTTACATAACTGAAAACGTATTTAGGTATATTTTATTAAAAATAATAATAAGGGTCAAAATTAACTAACAAACCAACGTACAAATTAACTTGGCATTAATCAAAACTCTTCCGTTGAAGGTATTCTCGTCATTATTTGACGAAGATACTGGGCAGTGAAGTTACCAATAAAATTTAATAAAAAAAAAAATATAACCCCAAAATTAAAATACAAATGTATACTAACAAGGTCAATAAAATACTGTTCGTGTAGCAAAAAAATACTTAACCACTTTTAAACATTTCAGATACGATATAAGAAAAAACAAAATTTTGTTTTAATTATTTTAAAATAATTTTTAGGAACTCAATTGCCAGCGACGGCACCTTCGGACGTAAATTGTCAAGCTCTCGCGCCAATTTTAACGCCGATGAAGAAAAGCTGTTTAAGTAAGAAATCAACCAGCGCCATGCAAATACAAACTTTTATTCATTGTCAAGCAGGTAAGTGTTAATTTTCATATCTTGTTATCCAACACTTCACGGGTTTACTTCCCTCTCCGAAATGTTTATAAATCAATGGTTTAATTTGTGATTGTTAAATGAAATAATATGTCTGAATACTCTTTAAACCCCATCATACATATCTATATCTATACTATTATTATAAAGCGTAAACACACACTTCTTTGTTGCCTAAGATGTCAGCAATTACAGCATATTTTTGAATAATTATCTTTTTAATAAAAAGCCCCACACTTTCGTCACGCTTTAGGCTAAATTTTCACGCCATTAGAGTTAGGGGATAAATATTTTGGATTTAATCCCTAATGTGGGAAAGAGACCATAAGTTGCTGCCAACATCAAGAAAGCAAGGTTGCCATGCTTTGTCATCAAGTCACGTCATTTTGACATTTGAAATTGATAACTTAACACATGTTAACAATAAAAAAAAATCATAATTTTATTCGGGTAAAGCCGCACGGGAACAGCTAGTTAATATAATAAAGAAGAAGCAAGATTGCCATGGCAACGGAATTACCTCCAATGGCAGGCCTTCGTTGTCATTTAAGGGATTGATTACAAATTAAAATTTTTATATTACAATGTGGATGAAGCCAAACGGAAACAGCTTACAAATAAAGCTAACTCACACTAAACACAGTCAGTTAACTATTTTAAAAAGAATAAAATTGCAGTTCCTAAATTGCCAAAAGCGACATCTAGTGAAGATTTAACGACTGAAGGCGCAGGCGCAGGAAATGAAATGAAAAATGTAAAGCAACCACCAACTCTTAGTACAATGATTGATAAAATAACTACAACAGGTATGCAGAAAAAACTACAATATGTACTTAGTTAGTCATATATTACATTTTATTTTTCTGTTACAGACCAAGAACTTAAATGTATAAGACAAGAAATTAAATCGAATGTTCGAAACATAGGTAACGCATATTTTTCACATTTTGCACTTTATTATTATTAGTACAAAAATACAATTTTAGTTAATTTCTTCTTTAGTGACATCAAGAAATACAAAACGAACTTCGAAATTCAATATCGCATTAAAAATGGATAATTCAAAAGAATATAGAATATTGATAAACGTAAATTCTAAACGATAAAATAAAATGGTAGGCTTTTGAATGGATTTTTTGTATCAACATTGATTTGAACTACTCCACAAAATGTCATCGTTTCTTGCAGGAATTCATGTAAATTTTAAAAGTAAGGTTAATAGAACAGCAAAAGAACTAAATAAGAAAGTATCATTACCTATTAAAAAAAACAAATGGAATAAGGGGAAATTGAAAGGTACGATTTTTTACAACAAAATAACCGCTTTTTATTTTCAAAATTGTCATTTCATCTAATTTCTTTAGCTACCAATAGATGGCACTTTAACCTAAAAAGTCAGTTCTGCATAAAAATATTTCACAATACAAAGTTTTAAATTTTTCAAACTGGGCATCTGTTTAAGAATGTCCCAATCAAAATTGTATTTTTCTTTCGTTTGCGCAGAATACTTGTTCGTATATGACATACCCCATATTATACCGCATTCTATTTTCACCGAGCAGACATCTCCAACAACGCCTTCGATAAGATCCAGTAAGTAACAAAATATTTTGCCTAAGAGACTAATAAGCCGTACTAATTGTATAGTTAAAGAATCAAATTCCCTACCCACTTAGTGTCGAATATTACACAACGAGTTGTTACCATAAAAGTATAATTTAGTATATATATAGAAAAAAAGTGAAATAAATATATGAAAATTTAAATTGTCATTGAAAGGAGGACGCTAGCTGAGCTATTAATTTAATTTCATTTATGTCCACTTGGTCAGGTAAGTCTATACGTTTGTTTCTGACTAATTCTACTTTGATTTTTTTTATAGGCCACATTTTATGCGAGCCAACATTTGTAGAATATGTAAGTGATGGTGCGCAAACCTCAGCTAGAGAATGGAAACTTTACAATGAAGAACGAAATTTAAATAAAGGTAATGCTTATTTAATCGCCATTAAAAAACATAATTTAAATTAATTGACATTCTTCAGGTGCGAAACAACGAGTGCCATCTAGTGGCAGTCCTCGAAACTTAAAAAAATCGAATTTATTTTACTTGGAGGCGTGCACGATGAAACCCAGTACTTTCCACAACGCAGGCTGTCAGACTTACGAATATATTATTCCGGTAATAACTATAGCTAGTGCTTCCACCTGTAGTCTATCACCGGCACTAAGTCTTACTGATATTTGTGAAGGGAGAGATAAAAATGAATTACAAGCCGTGTATTACATGCTAAGTGCTATAGAAGGGAGAATCAGAAGATTGAAAAGAAACATTCGCTGCAGACAATAACCGAACATAGATGGCGCTGTTTTGAGTTAATATTTTTCCAAGATTCTGCGTTGTAATATTTTTAAATATTTTGTGATACGAACGTTTGTGTAATGATTATGTGAAATTAAATTTTGTTTTAGATATGACTTTTTTTATTACTTCCAATACAGGCCCGTAACCCGGAGTGTAGTCAGGGTCTACAAGCTATATGGAAATCAATTCTTTTATTAAAAAATAAAACAACAATTCCGAGTAGATTAATATTTATTCCAATTTTCTATACAACAAATGTTAAAATTGTTAACAGATAAGAGAAAAATAACAAGCAGTAAAATTATTTACATTTAATTGCAGTTAATCTGCGGAACATTGACTAAGACAAGGAATGTTTGAATAACATATGATTACGAATATAACATTTTAAATACAGAAAAACGTACATACATGTCACTATTTACTAATGTAAATAACTAAAATCCCTTTGAATCCTCACAACACAAAGAATAATGTAACAGTCTTTGAAAGAACAACTTTCAGTCTAAAAAATATTAAGAAAACCAATGACAAAGATAGATAAAAGTCCGACATTTTCATCCGATATTAGACAGAAAAAAAATACTGCAGACTTTTTAATACTGGCAACAAAAAACTTCAATAAAAGTCAAAAGGGCAAAGAATTTTTCAAGTCTTCAATGCAAAATAAATTTTAACCCTTTATATAAGGTTCAATTTTATTTACAAGCGTTCCTATAAATTAAGAAGCATATCACAATGATTATACATTTCAATAAAGATAATAAAAAAAAATTATACAACCTTTACCTAACCTTAAAAATACCAGAGTAAAATTATTACGATCAACTTTAGTATATTACGGCGATTCTATGTATAATGCTATCTCTGTCTATCTCTTTGAAACTGACAGAGACAGCAATAGTGCCTGACAGAAATTCACTATAGTTTGTCTAAATAAGATAAATCAGTTTGATAAATGACGTATATGAAGTATTGAATTCAATTTGTATGAAGGAAAATGCCGTACTTAATAGACAGGTATCGTAGTGACGAACAAACTCGCCTAGCGAACTATTATGAACTATCGATATTCGGTTTAAATAATTATAGAACTCAACTAAAATTATTATTTTCTTATTAACTAATTTATAGGACAATTCTAGTATTGATTACAGTGTAGAGAATTTAGCGATGACAGAAATAATAACGAAATCCAATTAACGTACGACTGTAGTAGTAATAAACATTTATTTACTCTCATTATTTGTTATGGTCATTATATATTTGTGAAAACTGTTTTTTTTTTTAATTCATAAGTTATAAGCTATTAATCTATCGAATCCAACTTCTATAAGAATAAAAATCGCTAATCGATAAGTTTCATAACTGATTTTACATAACCCGTCCCTACTAAATTTAAAATGAATTGTCAAACTAATCTATCTTATTTAGACAAACTATAATACTTCGATGGCTTTAATTTTTATGTGAAACGCAAAAGCAAGAGGACATTTTAATACGATGCAATGCAACATAATATACGATAGGTAATTAATAATTACGTTACATTTAAATTTACACAGAATTTAGCATTAGAAATAAAAAAAAAAGTAAATCGCAAAATTGTAACTTACGATAGTCTACATAGGAGTCATTGACAATTAAAATGGGACATTTAAAACGCACATTGACTAAACTATCGCAAGACTGTTTAGTCTCGCTTTGATTCTGAGCTTCTATGGTGGCGCACTACTCGATAGTTGCAAACAGTTAAATTGGCTGCCAAATCCACAATCACAACAGTCTTGCGATAATTTAGTCTTTTTGTTCCTAATTTACATAAATGATATTTACAAGACATACTAAAAGTTCCAATATACGATACAAGTTTATACATTTAAAATAGCGAGTCGTAGTAATCCCTGTTTAGTACCGCGCGCGATACTGACCTCTATGTGAAGGCGATAAGCGTCACTATTCCCAATAATTCGTCTCATTTGGCACTCAATGAGCTGCACAGCCTTCTATAAACACTAACCGATTTCGCAGAGAATAAACCTGAAAAAGAAACTAACATTAATGTTTTTGGTCCTTCGAGCAGGATATAAAACTTATAATTTTAAAGATGGAACAAAGAAATTATTTGTGTGTCAAAATATATTAAAGACCACCCAGGTATTTATAAGAAAAAAAAGCTCTAAATGGACAGAAAACTATGTACAACAAAATATCCATTCACTTTCTATTAACTCCGCATTACTTTGTTATCCCATCCTTTTCATAATAAAAATATTTGGCACGGAATTGAGGTTTTTAATAGGTTCTGACTGGAGGGTCTATCACGAATATTTGAATAATAGATGACTAATTCGTAATATCGTCAAGTAATTTGGTATGAGACTTAGATTACATATTTAATAGTAATTTCGTGATGACGTCACGAAAACATTATATTAATATTATAAAGAAGAAAGATTTATATTTTTGTCCGTATTCGATTCACGTAAAAACCAGGCAGAAATTAAAAAATCTTTCACCATTCGAATGGTAATTTAGTAACATAGGCTATATGTTTTTATTATTTTTTAATTTCACGCGGGCGAAGCCGTGAGCAACAGCTAGTGATAAATATCCACAATCCATCTGTACTGTCATGGGTATAGTGTTTGTATGACTATAGTAGTGGTGAGTACGGAGCGTGTACTGACTAGAGGCCCCGAGCTCAGAGCTCAGAGCGCGGGCAGCGAGCGCGGCGTGAAGACGTGCACGAGCGAGTCCCAGCCGCAGTCAGCGAGCTGGTGCGGCCGCAGCGAGTTCCAGTCCAGGCCGTACGTGAACTCCGAGTGGTGCCGGATCGTCTCCAGCGGCTCGCAGCCGCGCTTCAAGTCCCATATCCTGAAATAACGACAACCATATATGTACAATTCCAATGACATACTTCTTTTAATATGGAATTTTTATGACAGGAAGATGTAATAGAAAAAATTGAGGAATATTAAGAAGTCAATGAGGATAAAACGGAGTTTATTTATAAATACGTTGTACATACATGTTACGGATACACGGTCGATATGTTCTATTAGATCGAAGCGAAGCTTTGAAATGAACATTTTTTTAGACAACTATTGCGATTTTTATATCGAACTAGCTGCTTCCGTGCAGCTTCATGCGCATGTAATTATGAAAATTTTATTTTATTGTTTACCTTTGTCATATTATTAATAGCAAATGTCAAAATGACATGACATGACAAACCTTAGCAATCTTTCATGATGTTGGCAGCAACTGAAGGTCTCTTTCCCGCATTAGGGTTTTTATCCAAAATATTTACCCCCTAAATTTAATGGCGTGAAAATATATAGCCTAAAGCATGACGTAAGTGTAGGGCTTTTTATTAAAAAAAGGATTATTCAAAAATATGCTGTAATTGCTGACATCTTAGGCAACAAAGAAGTGTGTGTTTACGCTTTATTATAATAGTATAGATAAAATTTAAATAAATACAGCAAAATAGGTCCAAGTTACCTTGTAGTAAAGTCGTATGACACGGCCGCGATCACCGACGGTGTGTGCGGAGAGAACTGCACTCTGCGCACTGCGCACTCACAACCTGCATTTTAAATAAAAGTACCTCTAAATATCATATATACATATATATAAGTTTGTAGCTTAAATTACAGAATGTTGATGAAATTTGGTACAGATGTGGAGAATCTGGAAGAAGATATATGCTACTTTTTTAATACCACGCGGAATCTCAGTCGAAAACTAGTATGTAATAATTATTGAACTTCTGATCCAAATAGGAGAGATGATTCTATGAATTCAATTGACCTTGATAAATTTACCTAATTACCTATTTTTTTTTTTATTAGGCGACATGTCTTACTAGTAATGCTTATGGAAATAAATTATCAAAAGCTGCAATTCAAGATTGTAGAAATATTACACAAACACACTTTTCGGACAAACAGATAGACATGTATAAAAACTGTGATTTTCGTTACATTTTCCTGAAATCTACATTTTTATTTTGATATAACGAACATTTCAATTTCATTATATGTATTACCTTTGAGAGTGAACATGGGTGAGGTAAGTCGTCTCAGGTCCCAGCCGCGCACCAGCCCGTCCGAGCCCGCCGTCACCAGCGCGTGGCTCTCCGTGCGGCTCCAGTCGCACGACAGCACCTGCAAGTAATAAAAATATAATCAAAAAAAGATACTTTTGATATATAATTTTCCACTTTTTTAATAAAAAAAATATCGAGTTAATATTAAGGATCGATTATTGGGATCTGTAAGTCCTATCTTTAGTACTTTTTAAAATTCGATAGTGTTCAGAGTGACGAACGAATAATTATTCTTTTTTTTTTATACAAAAAACTCTCGAATTAAGCGTTAAGAACGACTATGACGGCGTGGAACTAAAAAAAACTTAATAAACATCCATCTGTGGAAAATTTCATCGAAATCTTCAAGCCACTTTGAAGATATGTATACAAACAACAAACATCTATCCATCGATCCTAACATTCGTAAAGTATTATTAAACAGCCGAACACTGAAACGACATTTAATTATATAAATAAAGCCACACTTAAACTCAACATTCCATTAAAATGTGTATCAGATTGTAAACAACATTTAAGCGGCGAGGCGATTGTTCAATAAATTAATTTATTATTATTATGTGTCAAAGAATGCTGTATACTGTCACAAGTGTATCAAAGAGTTAGAATAATAATTGTTAGATACCTCAGCATCATGAGCCTTCACAACAGCTGCAGGTCTCACAGGCTCCAGGCACGTCCAGATCTTGAGATGTCCGTCGCCCGATACAGAAGCGAAAGTTGCCACTGAGTGCGGGGATGACGCCGCAGTGTACACCAGCTGAGAGTGACCCGCGAACGTGCTGATACATGCTTCCGTCTCCGGATCCCACTACAATTGTCAATGTTTCAACATTAGCATTAAAGATGCTTTATAGTTTCGCCCGTGACTCCGTCCACGTAGAATAAAAAAAATAAAAATGAGTAACCCATGTATTCTTCCAGACTGTTCTGAACATCTATGCCAAATTTCATCGAGATCTGTTCAGCAGTTTAGGTTACAAACTCTAACAAACATCCATCCATTTAAACGTTCACATTTATAATATTAGTAAGATCTAAGTGTACATCCCTATAACTAATTCCTAGTGGCTAATGTCTTTCCCGTGAGAGAAAGATGCGTCCTTTTTGTGCCGCCCAGATTCCTCTAATTCCCTCCGTAAACTAAAATACACTATACATAAGCTGCAACATCACCAGCCCACTTACGAGCTCGGAGCCTACCTTAAGTTAGGGACATGACATAAGCGACAGAGAGCTAATTCTCACCAGTTTAACAGTAGTATCCCAGCTACCACTCAGGATATGGGAGCGGGGCCAATCAACAGAGCAGACTTCGCTGCGGTGACCCTTCAGCACGCGGAGTGCGGCCGCGCATCCGGTGCGCCAGATCACCACGGTACCGTCGCCAGCACCACACGCCGCCACACCGTCACTATTACCTGACCATGCCTACAATACAAAGAGTTATTAAATATTTATATAATATCTTCTACATTTTCTCTCCATTTAAATCTCTTTTATCTCTACTAATATTACAAATCGGAAAAATTAGTATTTTTGGATTTTAGTATGTATTGAAATAACTCGGAAACTACTGGGCCGATTGTAAAAATTCTTTTACCGTTAGAGAGGTAATTTATCTGTGAGTAGTATAGGTATATATTTTTTTCTTCACGCGACAAAGTTATCAAAAACTGATGTTATTCCTAAGCAAAGTCGTTTAAAATATATCGACAAGGCATACTGAACAAAATTTTATCTCTGGTACTTTCTCTGAAAGGTATTATGTCAGATATCCTTTGTTATAGAATAGTCTAGGTAACATACTAAAATTGACAACTGATGTAATACCTTACAGGGAAAGTACCAGTGAAAAAATGTTGTTCACTATGCCTTGTCTATAAGAGTCTTTGGTTCCTAAGTAACAAAAATGTCCGCGCATATGAAGCCGTGACTGGCAGGTATTAAAATAATGCGCTTGGCGGAAATCCAACCTGAGGTTAAATAGTGATAGTTTAAAGATACACCATAACAGGCTTAGGCTTATTACTGAAACGAATGGCAACTCCGCTTCGTCAGCGTCGCTTACAAAGTGAAAGATTTCAAGTGTAATATTTTAATACAAGACACTGTTTCTTATCTGAATGTCGTCTCGGTATTCGGCTGTTTAGACTATTGCATTTTTAGCAGAGCAAATAAAATTCAATACTTCGTAACGTCATAAAATAATAGGCGCATATTTATAAGATTAAGGGGCCTGTCCCACCACTGGCTGATAGAGTTAGCTTAAAAATGACGTCACTGTCAGATAAGGGAACAAAATCCGATATTTTCATATATGACTGACAATAAATCATATTTGCAAGTATAAAACTAAACCAATCATAGTGCACCTGCCAATCTGTTAATCCAATAAATTGCATCGATGTAACTATTTTCTTGGTAATTGTTGTAAATAATTTCTGTTATGTACACGCAAAGAAATAAATAAGCCTCTTATACGCTGATGTAAGGTATGCACACGTAACAGAGCAAATAAGGCTTCACAGGTCTTGTCCTATCACTCAACTATGCTACATTTACACCAGGTTATGTAAAATAGAAATTTCCAGAAATCACAGCAATTTGTATACACTATTTTTGGCACAATGTTAGAAGTAATAAAATATGACAATATTCTTATCTTAAATCATATAAAAACTTGTTAAAGAAAGTTGTACAGTTTATGACATAGTGGTATTTATACCACCTATACTATTATAATAAAGCGTAAACACACACTTCTTTGTTGCCTAAGATGTCAGCAATTACAGCATGTTGTTTTAATAATTCTTTTATTAATAAAAAGCTATACACTTACGTCACACTTTAGGGTATATATTTTCACGCCATTAAACTTAGGGGGTAAATATTTTGAATAAAAACTCTAATGTTAAGTTGTTAAGTTGCCTATACCGAGGGTTAATTCTTCATTTGCTCGACGTTTTATGCACTTCATAGGCCCGTATATTTATAATATAATCCTAGAAAAATGTGATATTAAGCTGGACACAATATACAAAGCAAAAATAAAATTAAAATCATGGTTGTTAAAATTAACGTACGAGGACACAGAAGGTATTCTTAAAAGAGTATGTTAAGTTTTCTATTGTTGTAGCTATTTTATTTCATTCTTCTGTATAAAAATTTAAAACTATATTTTTAAAAGAAATGGCACGTAAATATAAGTGTAACTATTAATTAATTTGTTGCCGTCTAACGATCGTTTGTTTAATCTTAAGATCAGGACCCTCGCGACACAGGCTGCGCCTAGTGCGAGGGTACTGGTCAATATAATAAAAAAAAAAAAAAAAATCTACTGTATCCATAAACTGTATTTTACTACTCCGTGTATACATGATTGTTGGATTTAAATAAACATTTTTCATTTTCATTTTCAAATGTGGGATCAAGACCATGAGTTGCTACCAACATCCAGGAAGTAAGATTGCCAAGGTCATGTCATGACATTTTGACATTTGCTATTGATAATTTGACAAATGTAAACAAAAAAAAACACAATTTCATGCAGATGAAGCCGCACGGGAACAGCTAGTATTGTAATAATGAAAGATTAGCTGAAACATGTGGATTCCAAAATAAATCCAGAAAACACTAACATAACATCTTACTAATATTAAAAATGCGAAAGTTTAGATAGATGGATGTATATTAGAGTTCACAGCCAAAACGGCTGAACAAATCTGGATGAAATTTGGCATAGATGTAGAATACAGTCTGGAAGAATAGGCTACTTACTATTGTTTTTTTTTTTATTTCACATGGATGGAGTTGCAGGCATAAGCTAGTACTATAATATCTGTAAATCCATTTTGGACATACATAGTAACAAACATCCATCTAAACATTCACATTAATAATATTAATATGAATCTATTAATTCTCCTATAGACAGCAAAATCTGCTATGAAACACTAAAACAACTAAGCTAATTTGTTAATATGTGTTAGCTATTGACAATTTAAAAATTAAACACTACTAACCACATCAAACAGTCCATCGCTCCACTCCAATTTCTGTACTTCTAACAGAGTGTTACCATCCGGTGCCAATTCAAGGAAGAACAATGTTCCACCACCAGCCAAACCATAGTACTGGCTGGTAGCTACCGCTATTGAGTCAGGCCGTCTACGAGAGAACCGCACACTGTAGCCATGCCTGCCTTGTGTCAGGAAGGTCGGCATACTGAGAGTATAGCTGTAAAGTAAATTAAAGTTATTTAATATGACTAAATAATCTTACTAAGACAGGTGGCTAGTACCTTATTAAAAAAGAATTATAGACCCTGATGTTAAAGCCTTATATAACAAAAACATAAGTAGCATTGATGAAATATTTTTTGTTGTATGGAAATCATCATCCACTTGCCCTTATCCCTTACGAAGGGTCGGCACAGTATGTGCTGCTCTTCCATACATCAATATCAGCTGTCATATCTGAATCCACTCCTTTCTTAAGCATATCCTCTTTCACACAATCCATCCATACTGTATTTAAATGCTAAATTCAATTTTAAAGTTCTCAGTAATGGATCCTTTAAGTGATTAGTCATTTTCTTGAAATACATTTTATATAACATAGATTAATAATATCATTCTTTTCATATCGAAAATATTGCATTTGCATTACGAAGAATAATATTATTAGAGCAAAAACCAGGTTGACCAAAATCCAATCAGTTTTTGTTTATATTAATAAACTTAGTATGAAAAACAGAATACTGTTCTCATCGCATGTATATTGAGTGCATTTTAAAATACTACATTCGAGTTTACTTTAATATGAATATTAAACTGCACTTTAATCACCGTAAACATAAAAAAAAACTACTTTTTATTTAAGGTCATTTTTTCTAATAAGACAATTTGGCTTTTTTACATACACTTTGTCTTTGTATACATTACATACTATTGTTTACGGCTTGAATTGATTAAAAACATTGTTTCTAGCTGCCGGCTACGAAAACGACAATAAAGTAATTATAACAAAGTAATTGTAGTGGTTTAAATGTTAAAATACTAACTTTTCGGTCGGATCCAAAATTACATTTCTTGCTAAGAAGCACCCTTATATCCGAAACTTATTAGAATCTTGTTGAAAAACGGCACCATATAATTATTTTTATTAATTTTATCTCTTTTCCTATATCCTAATTCTAACCTATAGTCCAATTTTCACGTAATTGTCAAAACAAAACGTCATTCAGTGTTACTATACTTATCTTTTCGACGAGTCTCAAATATCGATACAAAATTATCGATTCAATTAAAGCGAAAATGCGTCACGCGATTTTAATCCAATTTGTACTCCCACGACACAAATCCTATTAGAACATTACTTAATTCTGCAGGAAACCTCACATGTCTGCCTATAAAAGCGCAGTATACTTCGGTTGTCAGCATTTCTGGTGAGGGTCTCGAACCATCACTTCTATTGAAGAAATCAAACGTCCAACCATATTTCAGTTGTCCTATTCCAGTAAAATAAAACAAGCAAAATGCTTGACTTCCTATCTTTAGTCCTCGTGGTCGCGGTCAAAGTTTTTAAGAAAACTACTCCAAATGGAAAGGTTACGGTTTACCTTGGCAAGCGCGACTTCATTGATCATGTGGATTACTGCGATCCGATCGATGGAGTTGTGGTTGTCGACACGGAATATCTGAAAGGAAGGAAAGTTTACAGCCAGGTAAATTCAGTGAAGTGATAAAAAGAATTTAAGTTAACGGTGGTTAATGGCTTGATCATTAAACTATTTGCTCTCTCTGTTTAGCTCGTCACTACCTACCGATTCGGTAGGGAGGAAGATGAAGTTATGGGAGTGAAGTTTTCCAAGGAAATGGTGATTGGCCAGGACCAAGTGGTACCCATGATCAATTCCAAAATGGAATTAACACCTGTTCAAGAGAAACTGCTCAAGAAACTTGGACCAAACGCCTTCCCCTTCACCTTCAACTTCCCTGAGATGTCACCAAGCTCTGTATGCACATTATAATTTTTTTTGTGTATCATCTATACACAATACATTTTCTAACTGACAAGCATTTTCCCTAGGTAACACTCCAACCATCTGAGGAAGACCAGGGCAAGCCTATGGGCGTTGAATACTGTGTTCGCACCTACGTTGCTGAAAGTGAGGACCAGAAGAGCCACAAGAGGAGCTCTGTTACTCTTGCCATCAAGAAGGTAATACCATCAAAATCTACAATCCAACATACACATTTCAATAGAATTTATTTAACCTATTACTGTTCTTTACAGCTGCAACATGCTCCTGCATCTCGTGGACGCCGCCTTCCTAGCTCCCTCGTCAGCAAGGGCTTCACATTCAGCAACGGAAAGATCAGCCTTGAGGTCACTCTGGACAAGGAAATCTACTACCATGGAGAGAAGATCGCCGCCAACCTGATCGTCTCGAACAACTCCCGCAAATCCGTCCGCAACATCCGATGCATGGTTGTGCAGCACGTCGAAATCACCATGATCAACTCGCAGTTCAGCCGCCACGTTGCCTCCCTAGAAAGCCGCGAGGGATGCCCCGTTACACCTGGAGCCAGCTTGTCCAAGACTTTCTACCTCGTTCCATTGGCTCGCAGCAACAAGGACGTCCGCGGTTAGTATTCATATCTATCTAAAATCTCGCTTTTTAAATAATTCACAACAAAGGAACTCGATATGATAATGAACATGTTTCTACAGGAGTCGCTCTGGACGGACACCTGAAGGAGGATGACGTCAACTTGGCCAGCTCGACCCTTGTATGCGAAGGCAAATGCCCAGCTGATGCTATTGGTATCGTTGTTTCGTACTCCGTCCGCGTCAAGCTGAACTGCGGAACTCTTGGCGGCGAACTGGTTACTGATGTACCATTCAAGCTTCTGCACCCCGCTGAAGGTATGAGCAATACAGAGTTATATTGTTCTTGTGCTTACAATTAATAGAACATTTTAAAAACTTTACACCTCTTAATTGTTAGGCACTGTTGAACGCCAGCGCTTCAACGCCATGAAGAAGATGCAATCCATTGAGCGCCATCGCTATGAGAACTCGCTCTACACCAACGAGGAAGAAGACAACATTGTCTTCGAGGACTTCGCCCGCCTCAGGATGAACGAGCCAGAATAAACAAAAAACCATAAAACACAAAAAAAAACGAAAAAAAACTCATCAAAAACCCAAAAAAATGTAATCAAGCAAGCGACGTGACCACGAAACATACCCATTCCATTACTTTATTAGGACCCATAGAATATTTTAATTATAAAGAACATGTTAATCGAGTAGTCAACCATTCAGCCTTATTTTAACCAAGTTAATCAATCAATTATTTCAAATATATTACTGAAATGTTTAAAAATCATAATCAACATATAGTTATGCTTATTCGGTAGTTATACATAAAATTATATAACCAGCTAAAATGAAATAACAGTGTATCTTACCTTATATCCGTATCCTGTAGTCAAAATTAACAAATTAATTAAAATATTCTTCACCAGATTTACTGTCTTTTATTGTTTTTCACAAAATGTACCTCTTGCTTTACTATACGATTCAAAACTACGAATTCACTAATTCTAATTTTAATTTGAAGTGACCTCTGCAACAGCTAGTGCATTACTGACAATTTTCAAAGATGCAAAATGCATCAGAAGTCATGACCTTATTTGCATACCCTATTGAGCTTGATGAATTAGAAAAGGGTTTGTTGCCCGGTAGTTTCTTAACAAACCCTTCTTTATAACAACACTTGCTAGGGCTACTCACAATTAATAATACTTGGAAGGTTTAAAAAGTTACGAGTAATTTAAAATTTAATGTAAAACATAACTACAATATCTGTCCACTTTAATAAAAGCCATAAAATAAAGTATCTCCATACATAATTTAAAACTTAAACATTATAAAGTAAACAGCTTTTTTTCTTGTCAAAACCATATAAATTTAGATTTACTAAGACAAAACCTGTAATGAATTTCTTACTTTAAGAATAGAGGATCTTATCTTCGTTCTCTCATCACCTTTTTAAATTTACTAATAATGTTTTACATATAAGCAGCAGAATTTAAATGTAAATATTAAAAATGTCCTAATATACTTTACAATTCTGCCTATAAACCCTTTTTATACTATAACAAGTGCAAGAATGGGGCGCTTCGAATAAAAATGAATCGAGTAAGAGTCGATTGTTCCTTTAACCATCGGATGAAAATTGATATGGACATAGTTCCCACAAATATAAACTGGTCACACTGGGTTTGCGAATCTAATTCCTTAGGGTGGACATCCTTATTCTTTCTTAATTAAATTTATTATGTTCATTATGTTATTACAGTATTTTCTCATTTTGGTAGTAATGAAATAATTGGTTTTCAATATTATTTATAACGAATAATTGTAAATGATTTTGTTGGGAGGTGACAAAAATATAGAATCGGAGATTATAAATTGCCCTCGGATTACTTAAAATATGCCGAGACATTAAGCTTTAAGTAAATATTTACAATTAGTACTATTTGTATATGGTTTACCTTCATTATTGAAACAATTATATTTAGTATATCATACGATAGGATTACACATAAATACGAAACAATCTCTTCCATAAACACTAATAACGCTAGACCCTCAAAATTACTTTAAAACCTTATAATGTTCTCTCTTTAGAGGCGATGAAATATGAAATATAAAATAAACAGCATCTTTATTGTTATATTACAAAAGATTTCTCCGACGAGTTCACCCTTGCGGTATTTTTTTATCTCAGGCGCGTGGCTGCTTTAAATAACAATAGGTCATCTTATAAGGACAACAATTATGGACCCTTAACTACATCACCATGAAAAACGTCTATAATATTAAATTAAGGTAACGTAATTGATAGATGGTTTTATACAAATTTATGGACGTTTCAGTTTACACGTAAACGCAAGTTAAGCTAAGCGTCAATAGTTTAATGAAATCGTGCGTAAAACGGAACAAAAATAATAATTTCTTTTATATTTCTAAATAACTATCCTGAAGTATTTTGAAATAAGCCATTTCATCTGTTGCAATTTTTTAATTCGGCGCAACTTCCCATGGCCATTTTTCTAACCTAAAAAATATTTACTTAATCGTTAAACTAAAAGTAGGTTGTAATTTGACAACTCAATCAAGTACGAATGCTTAAGTAACAAAACGTTTTGATTATAAAAATAAACCAACGGTTGCTTGCGTTCAATTATTTTATTTCGGCAAATGTATTTACGCAAAATTTTGTCAGCTGCAATTATGACATGATATTTTTTTAATGAGTAACTAACCTAGTTTTGAGCCACTGTCCCGTTCTGACGAAAAGTTGCAATAAGTACTAATAACGAAAACATCGAATTTTAGTATCAATTGTGACTACTTAAAAACTGAATTAACGGGCACTGATAACGTTTTCTAAAGCGATGGCTGTGTAGCTATGGATACCTTTCCCTACTACCTAAAACATAATTTGACAATATTTTTGTTTATGTGAACGTAACGGTTATTGCCATTGCGAAAAAATTATCTTCCCAAAGGTAAAAAGCGGTCAAACTTGTTTTGGACAATGCACTTCGATAAGGAAGTCTGCGAAATTTCGTCTATTCTCTTTCAAAAAGGGTTCGTCCAAAAACCAGTTTGACCACTTCCTTGTGTGAGAAAGGGGCAGTTTAAGTGACCCTTTATTTGCATGTCTTGTCATCTAACACACGGGTATATCGTTTTGTCCCTTACTTTTATATAGTCGAAATTTTTTTTATTTAGTATAGTATATCTTACTGCTAAATTTTAAATTTCTTCTGTTTAAATAATAATTGCATTTTTAATTTTGATTTTTTTTTGTTTTATCGAAATACACTACACTAAAAAATTTACATTTTTAACCATTTTAGCTTATCCGAGTTTTATTTAGTACTTTCTACGTTTTAGTTTTATTTCACTTCTTAATGTTTAATATAAATAGATTACCTACGCAATTTTCAATGCATACAAAATAAATCGTAACCGCTCGATGAACTTACAAGCCGTGTGTCAGAACAACAATTAATGTACAAAACATGATGTACCCACAGAAGCAAGTGCAAAAGGGACACCATTGTCAATGGACCCCACAGACAAGCGCCCAAGGGACACTATAAGGGTGGATTGCAGTGGACTTTCTCACGACTTCAAACTGGACAAACCAGTTGCTAGACAATTAGTTAAACTATCTGCGAATCTTTTGACCGTATTTATAATACGTGCCAACCGTTATTTTGCAAGGATTATTACTAAGTCTGTGTGAAATATTGGTCATTAAAATTTTTACTATGCATAAGTATGTGTATAAAACACATGTGTTATCTGAATTAGGTTAATAAAACCTTAATTTACTATTGTATTTGTCGTGACAACACAGAATAAAAACAATGGTATTGCGACAGTTAGGTCTAAGAAAAACCCTAGCCTTTTTGACGAAATACGCGCGACCGTGACCCATAGTAAGCAAAGTTGACGAATTTACATTTTCACGGTACAAAAATATATTTAACCGGGCGAAATTATTGTTGAATTATTAATTAAGATGGTGGTCAATTAAGGATAGAGTTTCTAATGTTACGCGATTGATATTTCATTATCATATATACGCACGCGTACAATGGAAGATCGTTACCGTATATATGATCTGCCTTCGGAATTGAATTCTATAAACCGCTCGTCACTCCGAGATATTTATATTAAATTAATAGTTTTCTTCGGTTATTATTCTCTATAGTATACTCTATAAATAAGTGGAATTAAAAGAGAAATAGTTTTGTATACTTGTAAATACTTAAGTCAAATCTTTTCATGCATTAAAAATAAATTCGGTTTAGTTCTTCGAAAACCTATTAACTCATTTTAACTGTTTTTAGATGTATATAATCAGCGGCCATTTCGCTATTTTATGGCTGCTTGTTTCTTCTACTTATAAAGCAATGTTTTAACTCGTAACTCCTTAAATTTAATCTCAAAATATCTGAATCCGTTACATGTCCGACCATTCATTGCACATTGCAAGGTACATTCGCTTTCAATACGGTCGATTTGTTACAAACAAAAGACGTTAGGGGGCCGATGAAGTCGTGACTTGAGAGAGAAAGGGGCCGCGGCCCGCATAACGGAACCCAAACTGTTAGATAAAACACAATCATTCTACAGATAAGCTTTTAGGTTCATTGTTCTAAACTTCTACTGTCCTACAATGAAGGTCGTTCTCAAGGAATATGATACTAACAGAACAATATATACCCATATATACCATGACAATCACTGAACCCAACGGGTTAGACATCTCACAAAGATATTCAAAGTAAAAACGGGATTCTTATTCCATTAGTAAAAAGTCATGTCCATTCACGAACATTTAATTATCAAATAAATAACACTTAATCATACACTATAAAGCTAATTACAATTAACTAGAATTAGGTTTTTGAACAAGGGGTTGCAAAACGTATGCTTGACCGGTGGCTCTGTCTACAACATGACCAGTGGAGGGTTCCAAAAATAGTCGAGGAGCAGCGGCTGGTGTTACTTCTGGATACTGATGCTGTCTCACTCCAGCACCTCCTTCGTAAGGGACGTAATGCTTTACTTCTTTGGTATGAGGCATCTGGTCACCCGTTACTGGTGTACTTTTTTCTTTTTGACTTAAAATTAAAACTACATGATTCTTCTCTCTCTGTTGTACTGGTTTTTCCGATTTATATTCTTCTATTCGATGAGGTTTTTGTTTTGATTCCATTTCATAAGTTTCCTCTTCACTGGCTTCAGCGTCATATTCTTCAACTGGTTTTTTCATTGATTCATCATCCTTTTTTGTTTTTTCTTGAGCTTTTTGGCGATCCTGTTCACCTTTAGCTTTTTTAATATTTCTCTTTGAATTTGCCCTTTTAGATCTATTTGGTTCATCGTATTTGGATGGGTATTCAGGTCCGTACCCTTCTTCTTCATATTTGTGTACTTGTTCACTGGGTTCTTCATACGGCTCTTCTCTGTCCTCGTGATATGAACTGTCGTCTGGGCTGTCGTAGCTTTCGTCGCCGTGATCACCAGCGTGGCCTGGATGGCCTGCGTGGCCTGCATGGTTCAAGTCCCAGTAGTGTTCACCGTAACCTCCTTTTTTATCCCCCCAGCGGACCTAATTATACATAATATTTTTTTACCTTAAAAAGTTCCAAATTATTGATGATTGTGGTTTTTAATTACATCTAGCATGTCGTTGAGTAACACTATTACATTTGAAATGTCTAATTAGGAGGTTAAATTTAGTATACGAGTACTTTCCAATAAGACAATGTGAGAAACATAGGACTGGCGTTAAGGCATACATCTAAGTTAACAAGTTTGTTAATAAGAATGATACAGCTTAAAATTAGGAAAGCGAATTCTAGAAGTAGAAGAAAGGTAAGCAGAAGCATACTTTAGCAGAGAACAGTCCTGTTGATGGCCGAGCTCGCTCGTGCCTCTCTGTGAAGTGACGTTCATTGCCCAAACGATGACCCTGATCATAGTCTTCGTGGGACGGCAAATGTCTGTATCTGCGTCCAAGCCAAGCGAAGCGCGACAGAGAAAGAAACATACAAAGATATTAGAGAGAGATAAAGACAGAAAGCGTAACATGAATTCGGTTACTTTGCCCATGTCCCTGTGGTTCTTGTAATCTTTCTTCTCGTAGCGTTGTTCCCAACTGTTGGGGTCTTCACAGACATGTCCGAATTCGATCTTGTACGGACTTAGCTGTACTGAGAAAAAGTCCCTATAAAGTAAATCATTTAATGTACATTTTCTAAATCTAATTAAGTGAACAAAGTTGAAGCATCTATAACATTAATACCGGATTTATTTTGATTACATTTTTTACAGCAGCAATGCGGAATGTCTAGGCAATCTATTGTCTTACCACAATACGTTGTTTTCAATATATTAGTACATAGTTCGCAATAATATGTGTTATTTAAATTGATAACAATATACGCGTCTTTTACCTCTGTCTGCGGAGAGTTTTATTTACATTGTACACAAGTGAATTTTTCGAATTTTCATATGTACCGTACCCAACGTTCTAACGGTGAAGGAAAACATCGTGATGCAACCTGCACATATCGGCAAAGAAATTCAAAAATATGTGTGAAGTCAACCAACCCGCACTGGGCCAGCGTGGTTGACTGTGGCCTAGTCACCCTTTATTATGGCTCCGAGCCCCTCGGTGGGGACGTTTAGTGAGCTGGTGATGATGATGATATCTCTAATATGTTCTCTTCTTAAACGTATAGTAAACATTACATTTAGTTTCAAGAGAAAAGTCAAGTGAAGTTCAAGATTTTTTTATGTTATTACGATTACGACTATAAAATTAATTACGCACTTCTCAAGTCAATTTCAAATATCTAGATATCTAATACAGCGAATTTCAATTGTTTTGCTTAACTTGAAGCCATAAACCATAAGGGACGCCATACACAAACGTTAAATGGATATAAGGGGAGCCGGCTGCATTACGCAGTTTACTGCAAACTGCAAACTTTGAAACCAACAACTACATTTTGCAGTCCGTAAACAATAGCCCTTAAGGCTTAAGGCTACTGTACGTTCTTGAGAAGTGTTAGTGCCAATATTTGAAGTGTTGTTTTGTTAGTTGCATATAATTTATATTAAAAATACTGACTGAAAGAATTTTGCTTGTGCTTCTACTGTAGTTGGATTCTTAGGCGGCGACCTTACTGTAACACATCTTACTGGACTCCAAGTTGGGCCTGAATATACTATTAAAATACACCATAACCACTTCTGAAACAAAAAATATCGTCATATAATATGTAAAAATTCGTATGTTCTAAATTTCCAGGAAAACAATTTTATTTCACTTAGATATATATTTACTATTTATGGATAAGCACTTTACTTAACACAATAGAACTGATAAATAGATTAAAAATTTAGTTTGTGAAAATTAATGAGCAATTTCGTACGTTACTACAACCTAATACTACAGACAAAACACTTGAAAATCGCAAAAACTATAAAAACAAAAAACGATTTTATCCAAAGACGTTAACACTTTATTTACAAATAAAATAAAACACTGATAAACACTTTCACTAAACCACTATGTTACAAACTTTAATGATTAAATATCAATGATTAAATTTTAATGATTAAATTTTAATGATTAAACTTTAATGAATAGAATAATGATTAATGACTACCATGGTGTCGGTGAGACGTTGTGTCATCTTGAATCGTTGACAGGCGGTGAGTGAGATTGGTAAAGGTAAGTTAATTTATACGAGCTGTAGAAATGGCGGAATAGCGACTGTCGACCGTACCCAGTGATTGTGGTTCTCAATCTGTTTGGAACAGTATTCTTTACATTTAAATAATTGTTTTGTTCGAGGTTTCTTAACATGATAACGATAAGATTATCTAATAGGGTTTTAGATAATTGAATGAGATTTTAAATCTTGTTGGAATTTTATTGCTTTCGTGAAATATTTTTATTAATTATTTCTAAACATGTGTTAAAAAACAAAATAAGCAATAAATGGAGCCTTCGATTTTCAGTAATATACAAAGGATAATATTTTACCTGAGATTTTTGATAACTCATAGTTAAACGATAAGAGCTTTTTAGAAAAATTTTAAGACAAAATTTTCACGTAGAGTAAAAATTAAATTTCTTTTTCTTCTTCCTGTTTTCAAAGAAAAATATCAGAAGCAAACAAAATATTTCTGATATAGTATTACGTAACAACTCTTTTAGTTCCAATCACCGTTTTAGTTGTTTTAGTTTTTAAGTTAGGCTTTAAAAAAAATTCGTCGCACCGTAGGCGTCGGTAACACTGTTTATATAATTTCGGAAGTAAAAACAAATAGAGCGATCGGATATTTAAATAGCGTGTCTGATAGTTCGAGAGGAAAGCGACTAATTATGTGCAGCGGCCGTGTAATTAGGAATTTACGCAACTTTATGCAATTATTACGTAAACTATATCCTTATTAGATAAAAGTTTCCAATAAAAGTGTTGCGGACTAGTGGAAGAAATTTTGTTCAAGTTGATTCACTTCAATCATAATATAGTTCAATGCTACTTTCTTCTTACCACATTCACAATAAAGCTAGGCTCTGAAGCAATATAAAAAATGTCACTTAATTGTACCGAGGACCGAATCGAATTCTACAATAAACAATAAAGCTACTTTCACACTAGAGTCGATACAAATTAGGCTGCGAACAATAAGTATTGTGAAACGAGTCGATACGAAAGTATGTCACATTGGTACAAACGAGCACAAAATGTGATAAAGTACAGTCAAACAAATAATCGGCGAAAAAGTACACTTTGGGGGGGCTTTGTAATAAACACGAATTGCTACCTAAACAAGCAAATAAAATAGATTTAATTCTTATTAGAAACAACTTGTATAATAACTTTTTCTCGTGACTTCGTCCGCATAAATGACAAAATCGAAAGAAGTGTATCCCGCGGGAACCGTAGCTATTTCTGGGATAAAAAGTAGCCTATAATATGCCCATCTATACCAGCTACCCTTCAATAAAAGTCCGGCCAAAACCGGCCCAGCCGTTTGGAGATTGCCCGGAGCAATTGCCGCTTGTGGATAGACAGGCAGACAAAAAAAATTAAAACGTGATTTTCGTTATCAGCATCTTCCAAAAATCTGTAATTATCCTTTTGATATTACAAACAGACACTGCGATTTAATTATATGTATAGTAGAATAATCTGCACTGATATATTGACAGGGTCATGTCATATCGTTTATTTCAACATATTATTAAACTGGCTCAAACTTGATTTGCATATAAAAGTCGCCGAAAGACAAGTGATTGTAATGCAATAAAAATTACAAAACATTTTGACCAAATACATACTTTTATTACACTTTAATGTCCCATATTGTAGAATATTAACATGAAAATATTGTAATAGTCTTGTTAATTTTTTTTTAATAATAGAGGGGGGCAAACGAGCGGCGAGAACACCGAAGTGGTCAGCGACGCCCATGGATACCGCAACACCAGAGGAAAATGTTATCTTATGTTACTAATGTTTAAAATGCGTAAGTTTTGATGGATGGATGGATATTTGTTAGAGTTTGTAGCTTTAACGACTTGACGGATTTCGATTAAATTTGGCGTAGACGTAGAGCATATTCTGGAAGAATATATAGGCTACACATTTTTGATTTTTTTTATTACACGCGGACGGAGTCGCGCGCGAAAGCTAGTAATGAAATAAATCAAAAGTAATATTACTAACATGATAAGTTTAATTAAACGAATGAAACTCTTCAATATGATAAGGTATAACATTAAGGTGCCTGTGAAGACATGTACAAAAAAAGACAAATGGTGACATTCGGTTTTTCTCTCCGTTTCATTCTCTTAACAGCAGAGAAAACATCATTTTTGGAAAAATACTCCGGAAGTACCAACACGTCTTATATGAGGGCAGGAATTAAGGATTTAAACTTCCAATATTACATACTTTTATATCTAAAAGAATGAATTGGTACAATTTTTTGTTTTGCTTTTTCTACAGTTTCATATCGAATACTCTTAATAAAGTTAGCGTATCCAAAAGTTATTTAGAGCAAATGAAAATAAAATGAAATTGAAACTGCGAAACGAATAGACGAGATAATCTGCTTTACTTTACGCATTTTATAAAATTATCTCTAAATCAATTAAGCGATTAACTCTTTGATCTAAGATTCAGGAACGACAACTAATACCATAGCATCCGGTGCGCATCGATGTGCTTCGGAGCGTAAAATGCGACCGCTAGAAAGTGTTTAAAATTCGTTTTCTTTCTAGTTTATAAGAGAATGATCGACACCGTGGCGGCCATTACTGTCTCAATAAAGGCAACAAAATGGATCTCTACGCTTTGGTAAGTTGTAATTGTACTTTACAATAAAGGACTGAATAAAACGGAGATACCATACAAAAATTATCACGAACGTCCGTGACTGTGTCAAGGTCATGACTCTATGATTCTTGACATAGTTTTGTAACTTTCCTTACTGTGTAAATAAAATAATAGGATGTAAAAAATATCAGCTGCATCGAAGTTTTTTTTTAATAGTAAGCTTTTGCAACTGTTGTTTAAATTTAAGTAAAAAAAATCCTAAACAAGTGACTAGTTATTTTACATACACGTACAGGCTGTAGTCGAACTAATCTCATCATCTTAATAATGTAGTTAAAGTTTTACGAAACGCATTAAACTTGAAATTAACGATTTAATAATTAAAAATAATGTTTTCATCCACTCATATTTCGGAGCAGTTAACGCAATAAATGGTCCAATTCTTTCCATTACAGTGCTTACCGACGCCTTTCGTTTTGTCAAGAATTTCATCCGAATTATTGCAAAAAACTTACTTCAATATCAACAGCTTACTTTGTATAAATAAATCTTTAAATTGTAGATAGAGTCCAGCGTAGAATTTATTTGACCACATTAAATTCTATAGCATTTTATAATTATTTCTTTGTCATAATTTCAGTTACTGCTATCCTGTACGGTGATTTGCACTACGGCGTGGTCGCGGCCCTTTTATCCTGTCCATAGACTTCGAGCACCAGTTCGGGTGACAAGATTTGCCCCACCGCCACATGCTGTACCCCACGCCCATCATCATAGAGCACCAGGTAAGTTATTACGCTATTTCTAATCTATCTCTGATCCAAATTTCATCTATAAGCGGTTCTGGAGTTACGTGGATCCATACATTCTCATTTATATTAGTAGCATAGTAAGAACTAAATTGATATTTTAGCACCGGTCCGAGAAGAGCCTCAAGCGCATAGACCGAAACGTGGCTATTACGACCATGATCATGATGTGGACCAAGACCGACGTGAGACCAGCGGTACCACCGGCCCGGTCCACACATTCGTGAAGACCGATAAGAATGCAAACTACAAATGGGGAGTACGTCATCATGTGGGAAACAAGTACGCTTCGTGAAGTCTTTATGTGATTTTTGTTATGTTATTTATTTAGTTGTTGTTGTTGATGTAATTGTTGTTTTTGTTGCTTTATAGTTTAAGGAATTGTGATATAGATTTTTAATAATAAATATACTTTCATTCGTCTTGTTTGTTTTTTTATAATGCCAAATCTTGTGTCCTTAATATTTTTCATATTCATACATACCGCGTATATTTCACATAAAAAACTTCCTTATTTTGAATACTGTAGATATGCCATTTATTTGAACTGAAAATTACTTCTTTTCGTTAATTTGAATCATATTTTTCTTTTTGCCGAATCGAATTTAACCAGCCAATGAGTTACAAAAACATAAAAAAACACTTTCATAAAAAACTAGCTATCGCCCGCGACGCCGTCCGTGTGGAATTAAAAAAAATCGCCTATGTGTTCTTCCAGACTATGCTCTACATCTATGCCACATTTCATTGAGATCCGATCAGCAGTTTAGGCTACAAACAACCATCCATCTACACATCTAAATTTTCGCATTTATAATAATTAGTATGAAGTATGATATCCTTAATTTATAGTTACTGGTTCTTACACTAAGGACAGAGAAAGGAATAGTTTTTTTTATTATCTGTGTAGTATATCTAATTGAGAATAGACTTGAACGTGTTTACAATATAAATTTGTCCATTTTGTGATGTAATCTTTCAATTAGGGTACAGTGCTACTAGATCCGGTTCATTTCTAACTGTCCTCGTTTCTAGAATGACATTCGAGTTTTTTTTTTAATTAAGTCTCCAGATACGATAATGTAATTGATTAGGCTGTACTGATCAGTTAAAGCTTTATCTAGTAGTAACTGTTGCTAATAGTTGTTTGCGAAGATTAAAAAAAAAACTATTGTTCGTTACGTATCGAATTTTGAACATTTTGAAGTTCTCGAGTATTTTGAGAAATTTAAATGAATTAGATATATTTCGAATGATTTTTTTAATTTATTTATTTAATAACCACATATGCCCGCGACCTTGCCCGCAAAGAATTTAAAAAAAAAAGTAAGTAGCCTATGTGTCCTTCCAGACTATTCTCTAAGTCTATATTAAATTTTATCAAGATCCATTCAGCCGTTTAGGCTACAAACTCTAACAAACATCCATCCGTCCAATCTTTCGCGTTTATAATGTTAGTAAGATTTAATATGCGATTCCACTTTGATGCTATTTGTACACCTCTAGTTACTTTGCTTGTTATAAGACATATCGTTGATGTCTTTTGTTAGAAAGAAAATACTTTTAATGTCAACAGTCAAATTCTCAGTAAAATTATACTTGGATTTTAACTTAAAATGACTGTAGATTAATAAAAGTAAATAAACCGTGTAAGTTTATTTACTTTATTCAGACGGATTTTTAAGCTTAAATGAAGGCGTATTTAACTGGCTGGTGCTTGCGACTCCGAATCCGCGTGGAAATAAAAAAAAAGAAAATATGTACCCGTGTTACTATGCTTTTTAATTGTGAAGGAATTTTTATAATCTGCCTAGTAGTTATTGAGTTATTTCAAAGTGTACAAAAATACATTTTTTTCTCTTTCTCATATTAGAATAGATATATATTAAATCTAACAAGAGTACCGTACTAAAAACATTTAATAGTTAACTAAATCGGTACGCGAATCAGATATTGATACAATAATTGGTACATTTATGTCTTTGATTTGCACAAAGAATTTTTATCTTTAAATTCTAGGAATATTTTCTGTTACAAGGCGTACGTATAAGTTAACTGTACTTATTTAAATATTGTTTTACTTGTCAAGTATTTTAGTTGACTAACCCTAGTGACCACGCCTTTACTCGGCCAAATGTGTTATGAAATGTGTGCACCAAATTCACACGATCAACGTATGATGCATGCATGCAAGAATAGTGTTTATTTTGTACTTAGTAATGATGGTTTTAGCTTGAACAAAATAATTGTTGATGTAGAAACTTGTCTGCTTTACCGTATCAGTCAAGTGTGATATAATTTTCATGTTTGTATCCAAGCTATTCCGGTTTTTTGGTTTTAAATTGATCTCTTTCGTATGATTGATGAAATGACCAAATTAATTATTGTAAAACTTAGTTAATTACTCTCTTACGAAAGTAAAATGCAAACGCAAAAGTTACTTTTGGTTAAGTTTTACCGTTTAAATGTACAGTAAGTTTATAAAATGTCGAAGTTCACAATCGGTCTATAACATATTATGTTCATATATTATATTTTAAAATGTAATGAATTGGAGAAGTTAATGATTATTTGTACATACTCGTAAATATCGTTAAACTTTTAGGGAAATTATGATGGTTTAAATCATGATTCAACTAATTTAACCTTGTTTCATGAAGTTCTTAATTCAAATATAACAATTTTAAAGAAAGCTTTCGGACAATTCTTCGTATAATACTTATTAAGACCTAGTAGTTGAAACAAAGTATCCGACTGGTTGGACCAAAGCTGGTCAGTCAAGAGACATTTTAAAATACTAGTATAGACACTTATTGAAAGAGCTTTTAAATTATAACCCAATTAATGACATATTTTTCCTTTGTTTAGTTACTAAGCTAAACTAAAGATTTAGTCTTGTAGTCAGCGATGTAAAAAGCACTTGACAATAAAATATTTGTTAAGAGATAAAATATAAGAAGTCACAAAGATTCATTAATAGCGGAATTTTCTAGAAAGATAAAAAATCACTAGTTTTTGAAATACAATAATGTCCTATGCTTCACGTTAAGTTTTACACATTAAAATAAAGTTTTTGAACAATTGGCTTTTATGTTACATTAGTTCCGACTTATGAAAGTTGTGTTTCAAGGGCGAAAAAAAACCAACTGTCAAAAGCAGATTTACTTTGCACGTATTGCATGACACAGACGTAACCCAAGCCACAATATCAATTACTTTAGAAACTGGGCCATTGATCTACTATTGGATAATTTTCTACTTAAATTTATATCCTTATTTTTTTATTTAATTAATCAATTAATATTGCTTAGTATTAAGATTGAATGTGAATGGCTACAAAGGTAGAGGAAGACCGAAGAAAGTAAGATTATTTGAAAGAGGATATGCTTAAGAAGGGAGTGAATTCAAAAATGACGGCTGATAGGATATTGTGGAAGATTAGAGCAAACTGTGCCTCTCCGTAGGGACAAGGGCATGTTGATGATGAAAAAATTGGCGTAGGTAACATTCTATTACCTTTATTATTTTTGTATGAGATGTTATTAACTCATACTTCCCCGCCTCGTGGCGCGAGACCTAAATGCAAGCAATAATCACAAAACGTTTTGTTCTCACGAAAAGCAAAAGTAAGGTCAGAGTTTAAGCATAATTGTTAAGTACCGTTACCCATGTGAGGCTAGACAACCGGCGTCGGGTCTATGCAATAGTTAATTCAGCTGTCGTGCATTATCCTCGAAAGGCTATTGTTATGATCGTTTCAATCACCTTCCGAAAATCGTGACTTGTATTCGTGTATTAATGATTTATGAGACTGTGGTATTTTTAAAATGATTAGAACAAGAAAATTATTACATCAAGACGAGTTAAAAATGATGTGTTCGGTTTGGTTTACATGGGAAATCCTTCTCGTGTTAAATGAAGTAGTCGAATCTGCAGCAGTGGAAGACTGAACTTACTTTGCTTTTCTTATTTTAAAGATCGATAAATACAAGATTTAGCGCCTGTCCCACCAAATTGTAAATTTTCGATAACAATCCAACGTTTAAAATATGTGATGGAAATGTCGGTTTTTGTTACCTTATCTGACAGTTGTGTCATTTTTAAGCTATCTGTACCTCTATCAGTCAGTGGTGGGACAGGGCCTTAATGTAAAGGAGTTATAACAATGTTTTATTTTTCCTTTTTTAATAAGCATTCAAATTAGGTGGTCGAAATTATGTTTACAGAACGTGTCATTGACAATTTATTATCTAGTAAAAATTCAACTTAGACAATAGACACGATCTAGAGGTGACCCAGTTAAAAAGTTCGCCCTCGATCAGAATATTATGACTCATATTTGACATTTTACTAACATTTGTTACTAAGTATGCTTTTGAATTATCGCTGATAAAACATATACTTCCGATCGTTTATTAACCACGACACTAAATACGAATCAAGCCAGAAAAACAATGGCATTAAAAATATGTCCTTGGGACATCCCTCGTTTTAGCATCTATAGTTTTTACCACCCTTATCCTTGGGTCTACTCTAGGGTTGTTACAATAACCCTTTTTTTTTAAAGTTTATTTTATGTTAAAAGTAACAAGACATTAATTGAGATTGTAAAGTTGACTCTGAATCTCTCTGATCCATCTGAAAAACTAATAATAATTTGATGTTTGTTAGAGTTTGTAGCCTGAACTACTAAACGGATCTGGAAGAAATTTGGCATAGACGTAGAGTATAGTTTAGAAAAACACATATGCTACTGACTTTTGTTTTGTTTTTTTAATTCCACGTAGACGAACTCGCGGGTGAAAGCTAGTAATTTTATATTTAAAATTATTTTTCAGAGAACTCAAGACTTTTCTTGCCAGTAATTTTGTGCCTATAATCAGATATATGCTCCAATTTAAATTTCGAATCACGAACACAAGCTCAGATCTTCCACTCCCGCTACGAACTAGAAGGGATGGAGCTACGAGTATATAAAGTGAATGCTACTCGCACGCACCATACGAACCGTGAAGCGCGTGTGTGCTGGACTTTATATTTTTTTAATTATTTTTTTTAAAAGTGTGTAATATGTTGCGTCAGTGCATTACGTTGGCAGTACTGGGGTGCGCGGTGGCGGCGCCACAGCATCAATACCAAACTCAACAGCAAGTTAGTAACGTTTTAGTTGATTTTTCTTAAAGTTTTTTGGTAATTGTAGACAGGGTTCAGTCGTTAATAGTGTTAAGTTGGTAATTAAATGGAAAATAATCTCAGTCTAATTAATGATGAGAATATCAGGACTAATTTTCTACAAATTAAAACATTAATTATTTTACCTGTGTGTGAAGAAGTGGATTTTATTTTACAATTTGTAAATATTTGACACTACTTGTAGCTTAAGACTTAAACTCCTTGATACCATTGCAAACTCAATGCTTTAACATTTAAGCAATCCATCAATTCTCACTTAAATAATTTCTATTTATCATATATATCTATTTCTTTGACAAATACGTATCAATTGTGTAGAGTAATGTGGGCAATTTAATAGACAAATCACTGTCAGTCACGCTGCATTAAGTTACGAGGTAGTCTGTGGTCATGCGTTTGTTCTCCTTTCTCTGTACATTTAGATAACAATAATGTTAGTAGTGTCTGTGCAATATTATTATCCCTTAAAGTATATTAAGTACTGAAACCGCTGTATCTTCCAGTATAGTCCATTCACAATAAGTTACTAAATCTTTTAAATTACCAAGCGAAAAATAATTTGAAAATGAATGACTTCGTCCGATTGGAATTAAAAAAAAAAGCCTATTCTATTCTATTTCTTGTTTATGGCTCTCCCTCAGCGGATTGGGCCAGTGTCAAAATGATGATGTAACTTTTTAATGGTGAAAGAATTTTTGAAATTGACCCAGTAGTTTTTGAGTTATTACTCGACATAAAAAAAAAACAAATCTTTTCTTTCTATTATATTAGTATATATATAGATTGCATGCCACTGAAAGTTAAATAATAACAAATTGATTCAATAACCTTTACTTCTTATTTTTTTGCTTAAACAACGTTGGATGTAAATTTTACTCCTATTATATTTAAAACTCACCACATATTAAAATTACTAAACGTTAACAGCTTATATTTATCTTTTGCACATTGATAACAATGTTCTTAAATATGAGAGTTTACGATATCCGTTGCTCCGGTTTAAAAATGCCGCTCGCGCTGAGATCAGTAGCTGAGATTGTTTCTGACTTTCAATTATTACGACTTACTACACTTCGCTTGCATAATAATTTAAGTTACATAATAGTAAATAACTCATGGTACTTTAAGTAAAAAATTAGTACAGTTTATAATGTATACAAAGAATAAATCTAATTGGGATTTTTAATAAAATTTAGAAATTTTCAGTCTCGGAAACATTACTTAAAACTTAAATCAACACTAACAAATGCAAAAAAGGATACCAACTGTTGTTAAGGATCACAATGTTGTCAAAAGCTTATTCAAATTAAAATAAAGCAGCAAGCATAAGAATACTTTGGAATCAAATCGCGAAAGAATTTACGTTAATGAAAACAGTAAATATTGTAAATAATACGTATTTTAGATCTAGTTAAAGGATTTATAAAGTAACATTTCTTGGATCTTTTAAACAAACACTGCCCCTTTAAAGTTATAACATTATCTCTGAAAAAACAATTCGTTGAAAAATTGTAGCAGTAAGCGACATTTGCATAACAACGGGGCACGTTACGTTTTCAGAACGGCAAATCAGGCGCGACGTAACCGGTAAGTTGCGTTGTGTTACGGTTTTTCGACGATGTTGAAACGTTGCACCATTTTGACCGGTTGTCGGCTCGATTGAACCGATTTTTCGGACTTCAACGACCTTATTTGTTTTAAGTTTATCTACGTGTCTACCGAGATTGAATCATATATAGGAAGTGGTCTTTCAGTTTACTCGGAGCTTATGGCAATATAAAAGCTCAAGGTGATATTTAACTCTGAGCTTTTAAACTCTCGTATGTAATTGGATGCATGTGTATTTCTGTTTGTGTTTCTAACATATAAGCTTTAATTCTAGGCTAGAGTCACGTGTAAAAATATACATGGTTTTTTTCAACTTAAAACAAAAACTTAGATTTAATTATCACGTAACAAGGAATGTACATAACAATTTATTTACTAAGAACATAATGTTCTACATTGTTGCACTAAGGCTAGGGTAACAGTAATCAGTTTTCTGTTCCCATTTATCATTTCAAAATTAATCCTTATTTGATCGCACAGTAAGACTTTCTAAAAGCCTTTTTGTGTACGTTAAAGTGCCAACTGTAAGTCGTTATAACGCAATCAAGTAGTAAATGGTTTATGATTTACAGTAATATGTGAACACATTAACTAGTGTATAAATAGTTTTTATTTATTTTAAATACTGCTGACTGAAAGTCGTATTTATCCTTACTTCTATACTAATGTTATAAAGAGAAAAGATATGTATTTTTGTATGTATTGAAATAAAAACTACTGGACCGATTTCAAAGATTCTTTTACCGTTGAAAAGCTACTTTACCAATGAGTAACAAAGGGTATATATACTACGCAATATTTTTTTAAATTTTAACTGGGAAAGTCGCGAGCAACAGCCGATTAATAAGATAATTTTGATCTGTTTAGCAGGATGAAGGTATCCCGCCTCACCTACTGAGAGAGTACATCGGCGCACAGCAGCCGGCGCCAGCGCAAACTCAGATCATCCCGCGACCCGCTCACCTCGGTGGTGCGCAAGTTCCTGCCAGACTTGTAAGTATTTAGACAGCACTTGTATGAATTCCTCGATTATGGTCCATTACTTATTTTCGTTATCTCACATGAAACTCATTGACAGCCATACCAAGTACAAGCTGAGAACCAATACCAACCCCGGCCACAATACCAACCGCAGCCGCAACCGCAGCCGCAGCCGCAGCAGTACCGCCAGCAGTACGCGCAAGAAGGACCCCAACGTACCCCTGAGGACTATGACGTATGTATTCAGCAGCTATATTCGAGGAACTGATATCCTACCCATTCAGTAAAATGTTATTTATGATATCACTTGCTTTCGGCCGAGACTCCATCCGCGTGTAATTAACAAAAACAACAGTAAGTTGCTTATGTGTTCTTCCAGGCTATCCACACCTATGCCAAATTTCATTGGTATCCGTTAAGACTTTTGGGCTAAAAACTCTAACAAACATCCATCCATCTAAATTTTCGCATTTATAATGTTAACTAAGATATTTCGATTATACCATTATTTACTTCTTTAATTAAGTATTTTGTATAGAAATAGATTTTCTGGTCGAATTCTGGTCCATGTATCGTAAGCATTATTGTATGGTATCTTTCTGCAATGTTGAATTCAATAAATATGTCGCTAACTGCAAACACTTGTATTGCAATATGCTCTACTTCGTATAGACATATAAAATTATCTTGAATTGGCTCATTGGCCTGATCTGGTTTGTAACTTTCACTTAGAACTTGTATTATTTGCGATACATTTATATTTTTATATCCTATATTATACATGCTACAATATAGTTAATAATTATATAGTTGAGGCTTTAATAGTGAAATTTATTGAAGGATTATGTGATATATATTCTGTTACGGAACCAATTGCCTACGATACTAATAGCGTTATGCAGAGTTAATTATTTGTGCAGCGATTAAAACATTACAAGTTACGTGATGTAGTTATAAACATGTTTGATGTAGGAATATAAAATCTTATATAGTAGTTACATATTGAGTTATATCATAATAGTTGTTGTGAATTACTATTTATTACTAAGAGACCTGTCCCACCTAATGGCAAACTGATAACAATCCAACGTGTAAAATATGTGATGCATATATCGGATTTTGTAACCTTATCTGACAGTGATGTCATTGTTAAGCTATCTGAGCCTCTATAAGCCAGTGGTGGAACAGACCCTTAGTCGTTGATTTTCTTTACCGTCAAGAAGTCTTAATAGTGTAAAATTCTTATCTCTATTTTATATAAATAAATGAAAGAGACGACATATTTTTAAAAACAAAAGACTGCAAATGCCTTTAATGCATGTTGCAAACTATAACTTTTTCATTTTATTTCCAGCCTCATCCTTCTTACCAATTCGGCTTTGACGTGAACGACGACCAATACACTAACTACCAGAACCGCAAGGAGCAGAGAGACGGTGACGTCATCAAGGGTTCCTACTCTGTGGTCGATAGTGATGGCTTCGTACGGACTGTTACCTACACTGCTGACCCTAAGGAGGGCTTCAAGGCTGAGGTAACAAATAACGTACTAGGTTAAATATGCGTAATGTAATTTCGTCTTATGCGTCAAATGTAAACACCATCTCCACCTTCGCTTAATTAAGAGGGAAAGCTATTTAATGGGGGCTATAGATAATTTCCAAAGACATATCATACTAGGGTGTAAAAGTGCATACGTTCCTTAAACTCTACAGTGGAGTTTATTGATGTTATGCATACTTATTTAAGTAATTTATTTCACTTTCGATTGCAGTCTTGTTATTTGTAAGCTTGTTTAAGTTACAATAGCAGTAGATAATGTCTTACTCTATTCATAGGTCTCAAGAAAGCCGACCGACATCGTAGTTAAGATCCCGACACCCAGGCCTCAGGGTCTAGAGCAGCTCAGTCACCAGCAGCCGCAAATCCAACACCAACCGCAACCTCAGCACCAACATCAACCTCAGCAACACCAGCCTCAACACCAGGTCGCTCCTCAATACTACCCCCGTTACGAACAATAGAGGATTGAAAAATGTATAATAATAATGTCTGAACTTTGAGATCGGCTTGTAAGTAAAATTTAAACGGTTTTAATCAAAGATTAGCAAAACCCAGAGGGGTAGGACCACAGATTTGGTAGAATTAGTTTATTTAAATAAACAAGACAAGTTATCAATTATTTCATTATTAACGTTTTCTTTCTTAGATAGATATGGTTTTAAGAGATTTTTCAAGCAGAATCAAAAGATGTTTAATTAATAAAAATATAAAACTACATTAAAATAAATTAAAAAAAAAGAATTATCAAAATCAGTCCATTAGCGGCGGGGTTATGCCGTAACACACATTAAAAAAAAATTAAAAAGACATATAGACGAATTGAGTATCTCGTTCTTTTGGAAATACGATCAAAAAGTTAACAATAAATATTTTCATATCAATTTTTTAATCGTCAGTTACAATTTCTTTTGTGCCATGATTAGACGAAATATAAGTACTTAAATTGTATAGCGAACTATTTTTTTTTTAATACACTATGTCAAAAGTCACATCACTACAAATAACTCGATAAAAGTAAATATCACTGTATTTATGTATTACTTCTGTTGTTTTATAATTCAAAAAACGAATCTCCTATTACTTTTAAGTGTATTACGAAACGTGATCAGAGACATTATTATTATTACATAGCATATAAGTAGATTATAATAAAATTCCTAGAATATACTAGAACATAAACAATTGAGTCATGCAAAAGAACATAAATAAATTTTATTTTGTAAGTTTACGACCTATTAATATTTAGTCAAACTGTAAATATGAATTTTGTATTAAAATTTGTATTGAAGCAATAATAAATTATGGTACTGATAGTACCTATATTAAATTGCCTTTTATTTATTTGACCAAGTATGCCAAGACGTATCGACCTCCCTAATGTTGTACATAATTCATGTGGCTTTAGGATATGCCGTGTTAACATTATTCCAGTACAGTTGCAATGCATCGCATATCGTCGGATTGGTAGACAGTGTGTTTTTGCTTTAGTCCGGTAGTCATTCGGGGCTGATTTCGATCGCCTCTGGATGAATGTAATCAAGGTTTTAAATCAAGCGACTTCGCTCGCATGAAATTAAAAATATAGCCTATGTTATTCACAGATAAATTACCTTTCTAACGGTGTAAGAATTTTTAAATTCGGCCGAGTAGTTTTTGAGTTCTTTCAATACATACAAAAATACAAATCTTTCCTTTTTATAATATTAGTGTGATGACTTAAGCTGATGTTTACCTATCTATAAGTATGTCGTAAAAAAAAAACAAAAATAAAAGACAAAATCTCAATTTATTTTTTATCTTTGATACATTCGTTGTTCACAATTAACTAATTACATTAATATCGGATTTATTTAAATTAATATACGCACAGTGTTGACCGCGCTAAAAAATAAATATCTAAAATAATAAATTAACAAAGTCATATTCAGTCTATAAAAGATTTACAAAATAAATATTTTATCCACAAAATGGCCGTGAAATCGATGTGCGAAGATTTTTGGCGATTTTACAGTTAGTTTAATTTATCGTTACAAGAAATTATACCTATTTAATTTATTTAACAGTTTTATTTCAAACATTAATTAGTCATTTTAATATTTTCTTGTATCTGCTAACAAATGTAAATGCTTTCTTTTCCTTAACAAAGTAATTAAAAGCATCCATTTTTATGTTTCGAATTTACTTTCATTATTTTCATTGAATATTGTAAAATACGAAATTCGAATCGTACATAGATTAATGAATCTATAGATTGCATGTTCCTTCACATTCTCATAACCGATTTTTTTCTGAATATTCACAAAACAAAACGACATAAATGCAGCAACCATAAAAAACCGATATTTCTATAGCATTGGATCTGGTTTACAAACGCAGCCGGACTCTACCAACACGTAGTCCTGTCCTGTTAGAGTAACTGGACCGAGAGGTAACACTAAGAATAAATAGGGCACGTATGTCTGTGTGCAAGTACCGCGGAGGACGGAACATTCACTCGTTCTGAAATTAAAAAGTTAACGTTGTAAGAAGCATACAGAGATTTCTTAGAGTAACAGATTGCAAAGATATTATGTAAATTAACCCAGAAATATACTCGCAACTGTATAAACCGCACTATTGGCAACATACAGTATTTTATACTCAATTTTAATCGTATTAGTAATATGACTTTCTTAGCCCAATAAAAGCTATATTTGTTAGGAATATTTAGTTGGGAAATTGCAAATTGGTGATTCGAAAACAGTGTCGCTCTCAAGTAATGGCATTATTTTAGAAGTATATCATATAAATAAGTCACGGAAGAAGCAGAAGACTGGAATTAGTCTTTTATTCCTACTTAACGCCTATAAACTAGGAACGAACTTCTGATCAAGATGTTGGCAACAGATTTTGTATTGTCACTTTCATTTGTTTAGATACTCACTCGCATACTTCGAAGACGACCTGCTGCAGTAGGTCAGGGAACTTCTGCACGATGGTGACAGGCTGTCCCGAGGTGAGGGAGACGCCGTACATGGGTGCGGTGGTGTTATACCGCGTACGGCACAAGCGGGCGCTCCCGCAAGTGTGCGGGTTGGCCGGCGATAGACCGGATGGTATGTTGCTTGCTCGAGCTGTGGGATTAATGGGAACATTTTAAGCATAGAATAAGCAAACAATAGATGTTATTCAAAAGACTGAAAAAAAAATTATGTCGCTTCGCGGAAGAATACAAAGCTCAAAATATCACAGTCGAGTTGTTTAGGTTTTTCGTATTTAGAGTTAAAAACTACTTGGGGAGCTTTGTCCTTCTGATGGCTGTTTATAGTAAGAACTATAAAAATATAATTAAATTTGATCATATCAAAAAAAAAATTCTGGTGCTCTTAAACTCTTCTCTGGGTGTAACCTATTTAGGCTACAGGGGACAGTGTAACACTTTCCAAAGATAGTATCGTATATATTATGCAAATTATGTTTGTTTATCTGTACTAACTTCGTGGTCTAACTTAGCTTACTTTCACTTATTCAAATAGGATTTATATCAAGTACAAAGCCCTTTGGCACCGTTCTTATTATGATTCTGTAAGCTTATTTTATTACACATTGTTATTAAACAAAAGGCAATCGAATAGTTTGAAGGTAATAAATTATTTTTAAATTCAAATCACGGTAAACTAGTGGTCAGTATTTTTGTATTTAAATCTGGATATTTCAAGTGAAATTCATAATTATTCCACTTTAGTTAAACAATATGTATTTTTTTTAATAAATCAATTGAATACGGAAGTTTGGACAGTTGAAAGATTTGCTACTCCGTATCACGGCTTAACTTATCTCGGTGAAATTTGTAACAGATATAGTTAGAATGTAATCTGGAAGAATAGCCTACTTACTAAGTGTTTAATTTCGCTCGAAGGTGCGGGCAAATGTTAATTTATTAGTAACGATATAAAATTTTGTATATATACATGTATGAGCCGGCGTCAAATATTTATTCAATACATGTGCCAAAGATGATTCACAGCTTTCACTATGAGGTAGCCTCTATGGCTGTTTGTTAATGGGTGATATTTGTATGACTCGTCATGGCTTTCTCAACGACTCGAAGCTTGGTCAAGTTCAGAAATGGCTTATCATCTTCATCAAAGTAAATAACAATCACAAGCGTATTGGAATGAATACTGTAATTATCTATGAACGATGAGGTATAGGTTTAGTCATATTTTTAAAAACATACTCGTAATTAATTATTTAAAGATATACGAGTAGTTTGAATTTTTATAGACTATCGAGTCAAGATAACTAACGAGGAAATATTACATTTTAATTTTAGATACAAGCGGTTTTTACTATCATTGTGCCCTAGATTTAACAGACTAGACTTTCTCTTTACATTTATATATTTTACATTTATTCCTAAGTTAGAATTGCATTTTTTACATATTAATACTGGTTAGTCTTTCTTCGAGTGTTCAAAGTTTTAATTATTCAGTATTTCTCTCAGAGAGTTAGTTTACCTGTTCGATTTCCGTTTTGTATATTGGACGCTTCACCGTAGCCGGCGTGTGCTTCGAGTAACGCCCGCCTCATGATAGCAGGGTCTAGCGTCCGGAGCCCTCGCCCCTGCCTGTTCGATTGTCCCCATGGTCCTGATTTCAACGCTCTGTTTACCAGGTGCCTGAAATGTAATAAAAACATATTAAAAAAGGCTGTGTCTTTAATGAAGTACAGTCGGGGAATCTAACAGTGTTCAACCGCAAGACTACAATTGAAAGTTGTACGCATTGAGACACGGAATAATTATCACTAGGACAGAGCATTTAAATGTCTGTACGAAAAAAGATTGGTACGCTAATTGCTTTTTCTGTAAGAGGCGAGAAGGCAATTTTTCTCAAAGTGCAACATCGCGGATATCCTCGACTGTACCTACGTAGTTGTATTTTTTAATTTGTTGACAAAATATTCATCACCGAAATGTCTTGCCTAACAATTACGTATACATTGAGAGAAGACAATGATGAAATTGGTCTTACAATTGCATTGAGACAATGCAGTAGATTTTGTGTTTTATAAACAAACTCATATGTTTGACATCATCCGTTATTGGCGTTTGAATTCTCAACATATGGTCATACAATTTGTAGCACTATTACATATTCTTAGTACTTGAATTGAACTTTTTCGGTGAAGGGAAATAATATTTTGTACTTCCTTGTTCAAAGAATAGACAACTGATAAGTTACTGGAATTACCTAGCTTTTATTAGTTTATAGTTATGGATAGCAACTTCGCTGTTTAAGCAATTGTTATTGCTTGTGGCTTGCTAGTATGCCACCTTGTACAGTCAGCTTCATAAATACGTATTAATAAAACTTTAGAAACTTATGTAAGCATTCAGTTTCTGTATTCATACGAAAGGACACTTGCATAAGTACTTTTAAAACTGATATATAAAATACATTGAAGCTTTATAAATATATCTTAATAATATTATAAATGCAGATGTTTGGATGGATGGATGTTCGTTAGTTTGTGGCCTTAACTTCTGAAGGGATCTCGATGAAATTTGGTATAGATGTAGAGAATAGTCTGGAAGAACACATAAGCTAGTATCTACATATTTATGCATCTGACTGTACAATAAAGCAAGATTTTATTACAGTCAACCGTTACACCATACAATTGCCACTTCATAAAGGAAATTAAATCCACTTTGTTCCGCTGGAGATGACAGACAAAGAGTATAATTTTGAAATTATGTTGTAAGCGTTAAAAACTAACAACACGCAGCAAACGGCTTTGTGAGAAATTTCCCACGAAACGCAGGAGCGCGTGTCTTTAAGGTTCAAAAGCATTAACGGTACCTTCATAAACAAACATACAATCTTGTTTGCAGACGTGACTGATACAAAATAGGTCACTTTGAAAATATTACAGAAGACGGTGAATTGACGTTTAGGGAAGTAGAACTAAACTTCAGTTGATATATTAAAAAAGTTACACAAACAATAAATAAAAATCCCTTAGTCCTTCGTTAGTTGCAAGTTACACAGAAAGGACAAAATTAAGAAAAGATTGTTTACTCAGACGCATGAGGTCAATGAACTTTTCCAATGCGGTTCTAAAGTATGTTTTTTTACGTATTTTTTAAATTCTGTTTTTAGAAGTTAAATCAGAACAGCACATCGTAGCACAATAATGTGATCCTGTTTTTAAAGCGTAAAATCGCTTCTTTATACATTTTTATTGTGAATTATAAGTGTAAGTATCTAGAAATTACCTTGGATATGGGGAACCATCTGGACCTGGACAGTCTGATGCTAGTAGGGCATCTCCCCACGCGTATTTTAACGTCGGTCCGCAATCGCTTGCTAAACTGCTCGCTAGTAACGCCTGTAATTATAACAAAGTACAATTCGTAAGTCAGGTCAAACAGAAAGATAAAGTATAAGCCTGCCAATACCTGACGGAAATCGATAGACTGATTATCGAAGTGTAATTACGTTGTTACGAATAAATTATTATCTAAAAGTAATCGTCTTAAAATACTTTGCCATTTCAATCGAAGTAATCAAGCATTCTTAATGGTATAAGAGAAGTTATGACCGCAGGTAAGGGGAGGAGAGTCCATTAGTTTAACATACAAATTGTTTTAACGGGACGGGTTGATGATGACGACGTAACGGCAGTAACGGCACTGCTCATCAGACACGACTCGACATTTCCTCATTTAGTTTTTTGTACAAGATCGAACTTCATAATTTATATGTAACATGAGACAAGAAAGCTACATATAACATTGATTTATTAATGGAGAGATTGGAGGTGAAAATGCCCGTTAGCTCCCCCCATTCATCAATTTAATGGAAGGGATTAGGTGATAGATAACTCATTTTTGAGACGTCGATCGACGAAGATCGCATTGGCGTCAACATTTTAAGCACTAACTGGTATTCTATTCCAATTGGGTACTTTTATAGCTTGCTATCTATAAAAATTGGTCGTACAAATTCATAGTCGAGTACGTGAGCTGTCGAGGTATGTATGCCGTGGCCGAATGACACAGTTCCCGCCAGCGCCAAACAAAACCTGTCCCGGCAAAGTCTACGCATCCATTGCTGTAGTTTCACGATTATCTTGTTTCATAGCGGTATAGTTAACAAGTAATGAACGAATCATTGTAATAACGTGACTGGTTTATCGTCTTTTCAGATGTTTTTTGTTGGTAACGAGCAATTGGAAATTATTTATAAACTTTCTAGAAAGTGCCTTTGATATCTATTGAAAATTGGAGCCACTGAATTTATTGTGAGAGAGAATTTTAATCGAATAGCAACAAACCAATTTTTCATTACTTCTAGGAAATCAAAAAGGGCACAAGGATAAAAAAAAAGTAGAATAACAATAATACCAGACACAATTTTTACTTTAGTGATGTGCGCCGAATCGTAAAGACTTACCGGAAAGAAAGTGCCAGTGTCCGATATCTGTGTCAAGTGTGTAACATGTCATTGAACTGACATTGAAAACGCTTTTGTGTCAAAACTAAAGGTTAATTAACGTTGCGAAATATGCCATTAGCTTTAACGTGTAGGTAACTTGTTATAATATTTTCACATTTAAATGTAACATAAATATTTTTGTATAAACAATATCAAGTACAAAAGTTCCGTTATAAAGTAACGTTACGTTGAAAAATTAAGGTCAGAACAGACGACAAAATCCGCGAATTAGTGTAAGGTGCAAACATTTACATATCGATTTTTGAGTGAAACTGTTAACTTGATATACAGTTTTGAAGTATTATTAAATTGATCTAATATCAATGTTAAATAATATAAATAACTGTTAATATTACTTCTTTACGCAAATTTTCTGTTTAAAAGTAATTTGATTGGATGAAATTGATAAAGTGAAGCTTCAGTTAATCGCGTGTGTCGAAAGTATTAATGACGAAAGACTGAAGACCTGAAGCGAGACGTATTTGAAATGTTGTAGGTTCCAATTAGCCTATAGGTTGAACCAATCAGCCCGACACATTTTTCTTTCGTTGCAGTCAACTGTGAATACCAGTCCGATGATACCTCACTATTAAAAAATTAATGACAGTTCATGTTGCAGAAGGAAGTTTCACTACATAGAGGCGCAATACCTCATGTATTTAATAACGTAACAAACGTTTTGAAAAATATTTATAGCGGCAATAAACTAATAGGAAAAATTCTGAATAGTCATTTCAAGGATTAAAAGAAGTGAAAATAACGTAAAGAGCAAGCGAAAGTGGCATCCGGACACTTAGGTTTATTGTATGGGAGGCACGTACGAAGACATCTTGATGCTCGAATTCCGAGTAGTGCTTACATTGAGTTGCTAATAAAGCCTACGTTTGTATGGTTTGTCAGCGAAAGTCTGGATTATACGATTTGGCAAGTTTCACTCTTAATCGTATTTTAATGTAGAAAACTTGATAGTAGGCAATCTTCTTAACACAGAGCTTCAGGGTAACTAAAGCAGTTATTGACACATGCAATTTAATTTCAAATGTAAATAAAACCACTGCCTCCATTAAGACTATCCGTTTAAGTCTTATGAAAATGTAAATAAAAAATTCTTTGATGCGACGACAAGATACTTAAAAGGAACGCTTCTGGCTCATTTATCTGCAATTCCATAAAACACGCATCACTAGGTAATTACACACAAGTTATCTCTACAAATCTTCCAATCAACCGTAGAAATTGTTGGATAAAACATCTCACGTATTGCGGCATTTCAACATTGTGGTCACAAGTAGCGGAATGTTTTAAAGACATGAATGAACACTATATGTTGTTTCTCTTTGCTTTTGTTTACTTTTAACAATCAGATTATTAATTTACATCCGCTAAGCATAAGAAACTTTAAAAAAACGTTTTAATACTGATAATTCCTATGAAAATGACAGTGGCCTAGTTTAAATTCAATTAAAAATAAAATTTTCTACAGCTTTATTCACAAAATTTTCAAACTTAGAGAATTTAAATAATAGTGTTACAAGCATTGGCAAATAAAGAAAGTAAATCAAAGTTACGATAATGTCAAATTTGCCTTGCACCTGTAGCTAAACACACACACACAAGTTGTGTGCCAGAATCGCTACAAATGGAATCTACCTACCACCTACCCCACCCGCTCTGATATACTGCTTTTATGTTTTAGACATGGAAGTAAACTTGTTAATAAAAGTTCAAGTAAAAGAAGAAACAGGGTTATCTACAAACATCGCAAAATGATTTTAAAATTAAATGGTCTTATTGATTTTTAAATTTATGGAACGTAGTGGCGGTCAGCAACCTTCGACTAATGACACGTTAATGCGTTTAGACGGCGACCGCTCCGTGCATAACAGTAAAGTGATGATAACTTCACCCGCGGTTTCATATTTTTTTTACTATCTCCCTGAACGGTGTGCTCTGAATGCATAGGCAATGAGTCAGTCAACCGTGCAGCATTAGAGATCTCAGCTAACTTATGTATGTGAGATCTTCTGTCAGCATCCGTTATTTGAAAACAAGTATAAACAAAATAATCGCAAAGACTTTGTTGATTAAAGTTAAGTTTAAGTAAGACCATTTTTAAACATACTTGAACAATATATAGAATTTCTAAATTTAAAAGCTCTCTTATCGATATCTGTTTAATTTTTTTTTAATTATCAATTAAAAGTTGGAGTATTTTTAATTTACTTAATTATTCACATACTATAAACACTTACCATATAAATATAGAATGATATACTTTTCGAGCACATTTTGATATAACTGTCTTTTATTGCACTAAATATAAATAAAACTTAAAGTTAGTAGAACACTTTTAAATGCGAAATCTTGTTCGTGTGTTAAGATGACACATTCGCGCTATTAGAAGGGCGTGCGGTCGGCGCACTGCCCGCGCAGACAAGTGGTGGTGTTGCTGTTCAATTATAACGGGAGTTCGGCCGGGAGTCGGCGCGGGCGCCTACTTCCGCGCCGCGCCGCCGCCGGTCGCTCTCTCCACCTGAGATAATTTGAAATTAACGCCATCTATTATACTGAGGTCACTGCACTTCTTGAATGCCGGTTTTGACAATTATCGATTCGATATGACGGTGGCGCGACGGTCCTACTCTATACGTCATCGCCATACGCCAATGCCAAATGCCATAATCGAAACAAATATGGCCGCATGGCTCGGTGACAGAGGTTCTTCCGATAACCTCGTACAAAGTAATAGCTTGGTGGAAGATTTTAATTTAAGCAGTGATTTAATCAATAATTGCCAGTCTTTTGACGATAGTTTCAGTGATTTTCAAGTGCACAAAGGAATCAAAAGAGAAGTCGAAAACGTCGTAACTACAGAAAATAAAATTTTAGTTACAGACACTCGGGACGCATCAAGGTTTGTGTTAAATGAAATAATTACTGTATAAACTTGCAAATAAGTTCAATTCTTCATTAATTATAATCATTTGATGGTTTTATATTTGTTTTCAAACTATTTTCTCCACTTCAATCAGCTGTTTGTCAACATGGTGCCGTCTCTTTCTTACTCGTGGAAATGTTTATAAGGGGTCTTTTTCTTGAAGTTTCATTTTTGGGCATTCTATTTTGGTACATTACCATCACGATTCGATACGATATGAATATCCTAATTTTGTGTTTTATAATGATCAGGGTACGGTAATAAGTAATAATGAAGAGGTAACTGATAGTGTTTTATACCTTTTACTTGCAACAAAAACAATACCATTTATTTCAATCTCATATAGTATCAGTAAGATTTTCAGTTACTCTGGCATTTATCATTTAATACTCAGAGTTTCTTGGTTTTTCTTATATTATCAAATTAGAACTAGACATTTGAATACAATTATAATTGTTAAAATACTTAAATATTATGAAATTCATGATTTTTTAATATTTGAATGTCATGCTTAGTGTATTTGTTTTTTTTTTTGTACAAATTATGTATAGTTCTATAAATTTATCACTAAGTAATTCATGTGCTTTTACTTTAAGTGAATAAAGCTATTTATCTTGCTGGTGCATTTATTTTTATGATTTTATGCTATTTCATAATCCTTAACCGATACTTGAGGTTTTAATTAGTTAAGATTATTTTCTATCTTCACAGACACAATGAATCAAATTCCGATAAACAAAACATTGACACACACAAAACAAACATCATTAAAACCAAAAGAAAATTGGAGGAAAACAACTCAGCGAGATATAAATGTGAATATGATGGATGTGAAAGGACTTACAGCACAGTTGGTAACCTACGGACACACATGAAAACACATAAAGGTAACAAAATACTCACTAATAAAATGAATGCAAAAGTTTAGGTGAATGGATGGATGTTTGTTAGAGTTTGTAGCCTAAACTGATGAACGGATATCAATGAAATTTGGTATAAATGTAAAGCATAGTTTGGATGAACACATAGGCTACTTACTTTTGTTTTTTTGTAGTAATTCTTTTAACCAATGTGGTATACTCTTTATAACTGGGTTTTGATGATCAGCAGATCAGTGAACTGGCTCACAGCTCACTTTAATTTGTACCTACAAAGAGTTATGATTTTTGTTTCGAACTGAGAGTAAATAGACATCTTGTAGCTTGTTGTCTTTCAGTTATAGTACAGAGTTTTGAGCTGTGATCTGCCAATTTTATTTTTGAGCTGTGGCTCAATAGTTTGAGTCTCTGACTGAGTTTGAACTGGTTCAGACCTAATTAACGTCTAACTAATAACATGTGAAGAATAGAATCATAAGGCATTCAGCCAGAACCCTTTTTTTTAAACTTTCAGGTGATTACAGATTTGTATGTCCGATACAAACTTGCAACAAAGCCTTCCTTACTTCATACAGCCTGAAGATTCATGTCCGAGCTCATACTAAAACTAAACCATTTGTATGTTCTATTGGAAACTGTAATAAAGCATTCAATACATTATACAGGTTAGTAACTTGATGTAGATATATACATAGAATAAATGATGTGGGTTAACATTGGCAAGAAAATCTGTGTGTGATATTGCTATCTCTGTCTTTTTCTATGAGATTGAGCGGGACAGCAATATGTTTTAAGGATGCATTGATTGTGGAGACTTACTAAGAAAGGGATAAAACATCCTTACTTTCCAACTATTTGTTATTATTATTGTTTTACTTTATTTTACTATGGAATATACTTTATATTGAAATCATACTCTGAACATGTAAAATTTTTGAGGCAAATCTTTTTTAAATCACTAATTAAAATATTAATTGTTATACTAACCCTATAAATTAATTTAGTGAGTAAAACTAGTAATAAAACATCACATTTTTTTAAATCATTATTTTAAAATAGCGAAATGTCTAGTGAAATGGTATGTACTTTGGTGTCAGATAAATCAGTGAATGTTCAAACAGAGATCACGTGGCTAACATTTGCCTGGTGATTTATGGTGTGTTTGGAGAACTGCCAATTCATATATTGTATGTAGTACATACCTAACACGCTGGGAATTGTTGTCAAGTGTTATTTTGTTGGTGTTTTTGTATTTATAGGTCATTGTTATTAATACAAGAGATAGGTTTATAAATAGCTTTATAATACGAAACAGCTACCACTGAACTGATATTAAAATTATGCATTATTATTGTGGATTGAATTACTTTAGTTCAGAAATTTCTAGAATTTCTTGAAATGTTTATGTTGGACATAACATGGACATCCCATAGTGGAAACCCACCTTTAGTAATTTCAGATGTAATGTCTTATTAGAGGATGACAGGTTTTAGTGTCAATATTCACTTGTCATGTTAAGATTAGAAATGTTTTGTAAATATCACTCTACTTGCCAAAATGTCACTTAAACAGTGTAATGATATTTTGAGAGTGTGTTAAAATTTTCAAACTGCTGTAAAAAAAAATGTATATTTTTATGGCTAATAAATGTAAATTTTTTAATGATAGTTATAAATATTATTTTTTATCGAATTAAAAGTCCACATTAATCTTTCTTCGGACTATTATTTCCGTTTCAGGCTAAAAGCCCACCAAAGACTGCACAGCGGCGACACATTTAACTGCGAAGAAGATGGATGTGCTAAATATTTTACAACACTAAGCGATCTCAAAAAACACATACGAACTCATACACAGGAAAGACCATACAAGTTAGTATAGCTCGATCAAATTCAGAATTAAGTGAACAACATAACGTCAAACATATGGCGGCCATTTATTTCGATATCTATACTATACCAATATTGTAAAGTGGTAAGATTTGTATTTTTGTATGTAAAAAAATAACTCAAAAACTGTTGGGCGAATTTAAATGTGGGCCTTATGTTTTTGTAAATATTTCCAGATGCAGGACAGATGGTTGTGGTAAATCTTTCACGGCGTCGCATCATTTAAAAGCACATGGCAGGACGCACTCCGCTTCACGGGCGAAAACCTCAACTGGGAGTGGCAGAAACTTCATCACACCGATTATATCGAAACAACTGCAAACACAACAGGTAAAATAACCCAATTTACACAAAAAGACAAAAAAATCCATGTTTTATAAACGTTTCTTTTAACTTCAGCGTTGTATATTTAATATTATAAAGAGGAAAGATTTGTATTTATGTATGTATTGAAACAACTCAAAAACTACTGGGTCGATTTTAAAAATGCTGTCACCGTTAGAATGAAAATTTATCTGTGAGTAACATAGGCAAAATTTTTTGTTTCACACGGAAGAAGTCGCGAGCAACAGCTAGTCTTCTATGTATTTAAAATGTGTATATTTTCAGATCGAAGCCGAAACTGTAGCTGTAGAAATTATCGAAAACAACAATACATCCAAACCGACAAACGATAGCATGAACTGGGACGGTCTATTAGAATCCTTCTCTAAAATCACAACAGATTCCAACTCTAATGACGGCTTAAATGATATGGCCCTTTTAAATCAACTACCAAATAATAACGTCGATATAACAGAACTGCTTTTAGGCAATCCAACTAACACTAAATTTAACGAAACTGATCAAATAGGTGTAGATTATGATTTTAATGCTTTAGATTTGCCTGATTTAACTAAAAAATCTAATAACACTTGGGTTGATGTTAATTTGAAAACTGTTCCAACTGTACAGACAGAAAATATGAAAGTAGAAGTGAAGTCTAACGCTATAGAACTAGCTTTAGCAAATGAGATAGAACTACAGTCCCCTTGGGTAGATGTTAGCGCATTAGCTGCGTCTATACAAAACACTCCAGTCAGCATAAAAGAGAAAATACCAGAAAGTATATTTACTCTAGCAACTTTTGTTCCGACTCATATGCAGAGTTACATAGATCTTACAACAGAAGTTGCACCAACAGCGAATATTACATCGCAAAATTCATTCGAACTAGATAGTCCTACTATATTAGATGTCAGTCCAAAAGTATTCAACGATAGTGAACTTGTATCCAATTTTGATTTTGACCCAACACCAAAACTAGATACTGATTTAGATGTTTTTCTTAAAGAAACTGAATTAAATGATGATAGATTTCTAAATACTCCTTCGCCTTCTAGAGTTCAGCAACAAATAGAAATAAATCCAGCAAATTCTGTGCTTTTTAATACTGATTTGGCTTTAGAAGATACATTACTGTTTGATAATGAACCACCATCTGATATGTATGTTGTGAGAACGGAGAATATATTTGGAAAGAAACTCGTTAAAAGGAATCCTTTGGAGCAAATTGCTGCTGATGTCGGTATCTGTTCTTGCAGTAATTGTAAGTGCAATCCAGACGGTGAATGCAGAAGTAATTGTGATAAATCAAATGAAACACCTAAATGTCCAGATGATAAATGTTCTTGTGTTGATTGCAAATGTAATCATGCTGAAATGAAATGTGCAGTCGGATGTGGGAAAGCAACGGATACGAATCATAACACCTTCCTACATTATCACAGACGACATAATAATTCTAATTTAGAAGATTTAGGTGTTTATACGTTGCATGAATGCGAGCAAACGCCAACAATGAACTTCGATGATTTCATTTGTTCGTGCCAAAGTGGTGATAGTGCAGAATGTTGTAAAAAACCTAACGAATCTGTGGATTTGTCCAGTGATAGTTGTTGCAGTGTTAAGGATAAAAAAATGTGTTGTGTAACAATATGTTTCAAAAAGTTGGAAGCTTTCAAACAATTTTTATCGGAGAACGATTTTGTGGACGCTCTTAAATCGCACAATTTTAGCCTAACCGGTCATTAATTAGTCGCTTTAAAATGTTGCATTTAATGTTACTAAAAGTATTACATATGTAAAATGTCTCCCCTTTGCATTAACAATTATATAACAAAGAATAGAAACTTTATTAACAATGTCAGGTGGTAGTAATCATTGTGCTTTTTGAAATAAAAATCTGTGTCTACTGAATGTATGAAAAATTTACATGGTGAGTGAGTGTAAAAATCAATTTTTCAAGGCAGTGAAGAATATGTTGAATAGTTATACGTAATTTACTAAACCAAATACTATTTCTAATATTATCATCACATTAATTAATGTTTATAAATACTGGTAAACGTGAACTTTAGTGTAAATGTTGAACATTTCTTTGAATCAGTACCGCTTTTATTTCGCGCTACTAGCGCCCTGGGCGAATTCTAGGTCGTTTAACTTATAAGGACTTTTAGGGGGGATGGGATTATTCCCAACCGTCACTCCGCTCTGTCCCCACGTGCTGATATTTGAGAATAAAAAGTTATCCGTCCCACTAATTGCGACGAGGGGACGGTTGGAACTTATTTTATTTCTTAACGATTATCTCTGTTACCTTATTGGTGAGACGTATGAAACATTTTATTCTCCTCTGTCCCCACATAGGGACAGAGCGGGGTGACGGTTGGGAATAATTCGGGGGATGTTGTTAACACTTGTATAATTCGAAGACCTGTGGCGCCCCTTTCTGCATAGAGCCCTGGGCGGACGCTCAACGCCGGCCCTGGTGCGAATGTAAAAACAAAAAAAACTGCTAGTGATGTTTTAAATAAAGAACATGTAGTACAAATATTGAATGCCAAAATGTGCCATATCCAATATATTTATTAAAATAAATTTTATGTATACAAAGATAGTTATAAACAAATTTTGGTGCTATTATTGTGATGGAATTAAATTTCTATTAATGTTATTAATGTACTTATATTGGGCTTTATAATGTACAAATTGTTGAATAATTTTATATGAGATTTACTTGTTACTGTAGAATTTCATTGCACTGAATGTAGCCATATTCCTTTCATTATCTATGACAAAAGAGACAATACATAGATATATTGACTATAGGTCTGGGTATAAGATAAACATTTAAAAAACAACACCATATGTAGCTGACGTCCCCAACCTTTTCTTGATCAGGAAACACAACAAATGTCATTAAAAATTGTTTGTCACTTTTTTCCCGACTGCACTGCACTAATTTTGTCCATGTCAATACATATTTGCTGCAATTTTTTCGTCAGCTCATCAGACTATATTCTATCGTCTTAGACAAATAAAGGTTTTGTATGAAATTGCATATTATACGAGTACCAGCGTTAGTCTCATTCACTCTCTCTGACTTGCTCTTTGCTACCTTTTAGAATAAATTATGGACCATATTTTAGATTCTGTGGAGAACTGATTTCAGGTTAGGAGTGATTGTTATATATTTCATATATCTATGCTACAATAATCAAAACTAATGTAGTTGCAGTGAAATTCTACAGTTAAACGTGATATGTGAGCAATAATAGACATTGTAAGGTTTCTAGTCGATATAACAAATAAACGCTTTTGAGATTCAATGTATCTTTATTTAAACCTTAAAGTACATTAAAATACAGAGAATATAAAGTGAGATCATTACAATTATTTTTAAGAAAAACTGGATTCATAAAAGTAAATCTATGATATGCTGATAACATTACAATGATGTTACTAAAGGATATTGAATTCCAGCAAATCATTTCAACGATTACATTAAAATATCAAAAATGATTAAGACAATTTTACAATACATTTGGAATATCTTATTTGTTTACATAATAATCAGTTTTACATTATGTAACATAATCATAATTAACCTTCTAGGTTTTATAACTTGAAATTATTGAGTTAAATCTATATACTTATCGAGAAAAATCAATCCACAAAACATATTCTGTTAACACAGTGACACAAACGTAGGTCATACATACAAAAAAAAATTACAGGCGAAATAGATCAAACTATAAAATATAACATCTGGGTGGGCAGTGCATCCGCTGAGGAGAGCATGGCCAAACACTTTTCTCTAAGCGCTTCATAACAAAGTTATTAGTTAAAGATAGATTATTTTTAAAATCTTGGAGTAATTACCTAACAATCAATTGAATACTACTTTAAATGTAATTTAATAAATGAGAATGAAACTATTACATTGTAAAAATTGGAATGGTTTTTTTTTCTTAGAAATAAATTAATCCTATATATTAAAGTTACAATGGATTCATTTTATTAATTCAAAGAGTATTGTGGAAATATTATATAATAAATGCTAACAGACAAGAGTATTCATTAAAAACAGTCATATTTACTTCTACATTATTTTTTTTTAACGGCGTTTCTTCTTGTCGTGACGTCGAGCACGCGAGACGGTGGCTCGATGCCCAGGTGAAGATTGTTCAGAACTGCATTCATCACTGTCAGTATATGCCTGGAAAATAAAGAGGATGAACAGACTTTGCATCTCTAAGGGCCAAATATGGTCTTTGGACGTCGAAAACTACTTTCTCTCCATTGGCAACAAAATGACAATTTTTTAACGTTTGTAGCATCCTTAAGAAAGTTGTAGAGTAAAAATCATGATAGTAGCCTTCTACTTGTGATAATTCACTTGATTTATGCTTCGTTGACGTTAGTAAATACATCGCGAGTCTCTATAAAATTACATGGGTATATTTTTGTTACCTTTTCGTAAGGATGAGAATCGCTTTGTTCATCAGTAAGAGTCACGCAAGCTAGCAAGCATGCAAATTGAAAAGCTGCGCCGATATATAATCCATATCTTATAACAGTACTCATCAAGTCTTCGGCAAAGATCTCATTGGGAATCATCTTGAATTCTGAAAAATACAACTATTGTTTATAGAATTGTTAAAAACCGGTTAACTTTCTATGAAAGTGTTATTTCTTGATATGTCATAGACGCACTTTACTTACTTTTCAGCGTTTTTAGGATTTAAAAAGCCGAATTAAATAAAAACTGTCCGTACTCAATTTTCAATAGCTTAACAGTTTGAGAATTTGTGAATTTGACAAGAACTGACAACATTGGACAAAGTTTACAAAGCCGTAGAAAGTCGATAACAGCAAATTCATTTGACCAAAGAGTATGTAACCGTTTTTGCATTTCGTATTTTTTTAATTTACACATAATAAAAAGTCGAAAATGTAATGGTTAATCGCTAAAAATGTTTAATGAAAGTTAAAAAAAATAGTGTTTTCTACTACCAACTCTATTTACTACTAGTCTAATAATAGGTTCCACTAGTCACTAGATGGCATTGTACTATAATGACGTACCGTGAGTTAAAACTTGAAACAAAACATTTATTTTTATTTCTTGAAGATAATGAGAGGTATAAGAATAGTTGGAGTGTGTAAGAGTATTGCGAATTGCAAACAACATCAGAATTTTTCAGATGACACTATTAATACACACATTTTAACAAATACAAAGCATCTCAATACAATTATTTACGCAACCTAAGTTAACGAAACCCATGTTTTATTGTTTTATTATGCCGATTTCGCCTACAACGTTACATCTTATTACAACGTTGATTAAAAGTTAACCGGTATGAAAATTAGGTAAGCATGAAAATCAACATTACCAGAAGTATCTAATTGAAAAATTGTTTACGCCGTGTTTTAGCTGGGATTGCTTATCGTGTATTAATGTTTTTACTTGAACAGACGATGTGAAGACCACGTTTAACAGATAAATACTGTTGTAAATATGAAGACATATCTCATTGGTATGTAATTTGGTTGAAATGTTAGTTTATGGCAATATGCATTTAATAGCACAGATCTGTTTTGCTAGAAAAATAAAAAAAACATCGTTATAATAACTATACGAATAGTGCGTACAACTCATCACTGCCAACAAACTAATTTATTAGTGCTTTATTTTACTTTTTTTTTTCAGTTTTTGTAATAACGTTTATATGTAAAATAAAAGCAGATACTTCTGGTTTGGACTATGAATATGAAGAGGCTGAAGATGCAAAATACTTTGACCTTAGGGGCACTTTAAGACAAGATTTCGGACTCGTAAGTTCTTGGTCTATACTAATAAAATAAAGCTCAAAACACACACTTTTTTGTCATATAGAATGTCAGCAATTCCATCATATTATTGAAAAAATCTTTAATAGAAAGCCCTTCGCTTACGGCACGCAATAGGCTATATATATTCACGCTATTAAATTTAGGGGGTAAATAATTTGAAAGACGTGAAATACGAATGCATGTGAATGAAGCTGCACAGGAACAGCTAGTTTATATTAAATTTAAAAGAAGGTGAACAATTAACATGAATGGACATCAGATTTTTGAAAAAAAAAACTTTTATGTAAGGTTACCTTTGCTAAGAAATTTCAATTCATGTCACCTCTGGGCTTACTTGTTCTGATATATTTAAGTCAACTATGTAAACTACGACAGTCAATATTGTTCTGAGTTAGCCCGTGAACATGGCGCATGCAACTGTGCTGAAATATCGGGAGCCTACCAATCGTGGTAAGAAACCCGTATCTTACGAACATTATATTTATAAAAACCACGACAGTTTAAAGTTAAATAAGGTTAATGAAGATAATTATATTCTTTAGGAAGCTGCGTTATTAATGCCTCATAGTAGCAGTATTTGTTCTCCAATATCTGCGTTATTACCCATCGGTAAACTAGCCTTGGGAGCTGAAGGTAAAACACTTCGTGAACTCCAGAAAGCCATCGGAGTGGATTCAGATTTGTCCCATGACTATGACTCTCCTTCGGATGAGGTACTTTGATAAATATGTTTTTACTAGCTTTCGCCTGCGACCCCATCCGCGTGGAAAAAAATGAGTAGCTTATGTGTTCTTCTGTCATCGAGATCCGTTTAGAAGTTTAGGCTATAAACTCTAACAAACATCTATTCATATATACTTTCGCATTTATAAGGAAGATTAATTTGAATAAGATTTAATAATCTATAACTATACTAATATTATAAAGAGGAAAAAGATTTGTATTTTTTTATGTATTGAAATAACTCAAAAACTACCGGCCCGTTTTTAAAAATTCTTTCACCGTTAGAAAGATAATTTATGAGTAACGTAGGCTATGATTTTTATTATTTTTAATTTCACGCGGACGAAGTCGCGAGCAACAGCTAGTCTAGAATAAAAAACAACGACTATGTAAAACCTAAAGGGGCACTGGCACGCCCTTAGATAAAAAATACACGACTTGCAAATGACAAGTAAAAAATGAAAACACCACTTTGTCTTTCCACTAAATACAGCTTTGAAAATGGAACGCGTGTTTATAATTAAAATTGTGATCTCTTTGTGGGAATGGGGACGGCGAGATTAAACGTCAAGTAAAACGACTGCAGAAAACAGCGGGGACGGTTAACACACTGTTTTAACTAGCGCTCGTGGACAAATACGAAAGATAACCACGCAATTTGTATGTAGGTCACTGAGAATTAGAATATAAATCCATCTATACTATCCATACTATTATAAAAAAGATAACACACTTCTTTGTTGCCTAAGATGTCAGTAATTACAGCACATTTTTGAATAATTCTTTTTTTAATAAAAAGCCCTACACTTGCGTCACGCTTTAGGCTATATATTTTAACACCATTAAACTTAGGCGGTAAATATTTTGGTTGAAAACCCTAATGTGGGAAAGAGACCATAAGTTGCTGCCAACATCAAGAAACAAACTGCTAAGGTTTGTCATATCATGTCATTTTGACATTTGCTATTGATAATTTGACAAATGTAAACAATAAAATAAAATTTTCATAATTTCACGCGGATGAAGCCGCACGGGAAAAGTTAGTTTTATGATAAAATTCAAAAGAAAACTACTTATTGTTATTTGCACCATGACTATTTATAGCGTATCTGTTTGAAGTTGGAACGTCTTCAATCTACCATAGATTGAGTTTTTGAATACCGTCGGCAAACTGGCAAACTACATTAAAATATAATCAAAGCTATAACTGAATTTTCTTAATCATAGTATTAAAATGTTTTCTTTCAGCTTATTGCACATTTCAAGGGCGTTCTAAAAACTCTCAAATTATTGCCAGGAGTTATTTTGGACGTCGCGAACAAACTTTACGTTTCAAATCAATATCGCCTTCGTTCGAAGTTTTCTAAGTTGGCCAAAAGTATTTTCGAAACTTCAGTAGATGTAGTCGATTTTGATGATTCTCGAAGAGTATTGAATAGCATCAATGGTTGGGTATGTTACTTATGACGCCTTGGCTCTGAAACTTGAACGACTCATTGGGTAGAGTATTACCAGGTGTCATCACCAGCTCACTATATGTCCCCACCGAGGAGCTCGAAGCCTACCCTAATCAGGGGTGACTAGGCCATAGTCAACCACGCTGGCCAAGTGCGGGTTGGTTGACTTCACACATATCGCCGATATGTGCAGGTTGCATCACGATGTTTTCCTTCACCGTAAGAACGTCGGGTAAATTATGTACGTATGAAAATTCGAAAAATCGAAAATCAAATTGGTACATAGCGGGATTCGAACCCAAGACTTGTAGATTATAAGTCAAGTGCTTAAACCACTGACCCACCGACGCTCACAACCAGGTGTGGTGACGGTGGACACAGAATACGGAAGGAGACACTCGTCAAGCAGTTCAAGGTCTACTGCTCACAAGATCCTAAAGAAGGGCTCGATAGGTGCCGAGAAATCGCAGTGTAATAGATTACCCTTACCAGATTATTTTGGTGCTTTTGTGAAAAAACTTTCATTAGAAGCAATACTTTTTCATGTTCAAGTTTTTAACAGTGGTAGAGCCCGCTTTAACATCTTCACACGAATGGGCCGGCTCGCCCAGTGTAATACCACGACCACACAGAAGACATGAAGTGGGAGCAATTTCGACAGTCTAATGAGTGTGATGGCGGAGACCCAACTTTAGTCCCTTTTTCTTCCCCTTTTCTCATAAGAGTAGGATGGAAAGGGCACGTGGATTTGATGTAGGAGGAGACGCATAGGAAGAGGAAATATCCTCTTTATATGCGTCTCCTCCTATGTCGATTAAGGGTAAGCAACCAGCTATTGCGAATGAGTATGAGCAGCGGTCGCTTCGCCATTTTAGCGGGTTCAGGTGACCGCTTGCTTATTTGACACCTTATGACATAAAAAAAACACATTTATTATTGTAGGTGGCATCGCAAACACATGGCATGATACCTTCTATACTGTCATCCGATGATATATCGAAAAACACTTCTTTGGTCATTGTTAATGCTATTTATTTTGCGGTAAGTGTAATAGCGTCTTTGCAACTTCGAATAAAAAATGTGCATAGAAATGCCAGCAGTACCTTTTACTTACGAGGTTTTATAATTTTTTTAGAGTTTAATATTATATTAACGTTTTAGGGTAAATGGAAATATCCCTTTTCTTCAGTAAGTGTTGGAACTTTTCATTCGGCGAAAGGCACTAGACAGATCCCCATGATGTCGCGTACTCAGGACTATGCGTACACGTTCAGCATGCCTTTAATGGCGCAGGTAATATTTATTTTAGTAATATTTGTTGATTAAAAGCGAAACCAAGTAGACTGTTTGTATCCCTGTTACACTTAAGGGAAGAATACCATACAAGTGACATCTAACTCATATAATGAATTAATTGTTTGGTCTATAGATAGTTGATTTACATTTGTTTGTATGATACTGTGTTTATCTATAATAATATTATAAAGAGGAAAGATTTGTATTTTTGTTTATATTGAAGTAATTCAAAAACTACAGGGCCGATTTCGATTTCTTTCATCATTAAAAAACTATGTTATCGGTAAGAAACATAGGCTATATTTTTAACTATTGTTTAATTCCACGTGAATGAAGTCTTGAACAACAGTTAGTTTTAAAACCAGTACCTTCTCTATAAGTAAAAACGGGTAAAGTAAGATTGTACGCGTTCGTCCAATTTTGTGTTCATAGAGTCAAAATTGCCGACAGATTTTTATTAGGGGTTCCACATTAATTATCCTTTAAGAAGCTAGACTTACAGTTAGTCAGGTATTGCTTTCTTTGTAAATAATTTATGTCCTATGGGTACAGATTGTAAGGATACCATATCATGGAGACAAGGCATCGTTTCTTATAGTACTTCCGAAGGAGAGAAACGGATTAGATTTAGTACTGCAACGTTTAAATAGCGAACCGAATTTGTTAGCATGGGCGATATCTAAGATGGAAATGACGAAAGTTATGTTAACGATGCCTAAATTTAAAATAGAATCTGAATGGGACCTTCGCGATTTGTATCAGAAGGTATGAATTTAGTGTTATTAGTTTGAACATTTTACTAACTTTTAAAAGTTGCAGAAACAAAACAAAGGTTTTTTAAATTTTTTAGGTAGGAATAAGTACAATTTTCAGATCTAAAAAATCTGAACTTAACAATATTGTTAAAAGCCAAACTTTAGTTGTGTCCGCGGCGGTACAGAAGGCTGTTATAGATGTTAATGAATTGGGCACAGAGGCTGGCGCGTCTTCAGGTAAGTCGTCTAATTTTTAATATGTTCAATCGTTACTAAAAATAAATTCAGATATCTACAAACGTAAATATACCTTGTGGCTTTTTCTTTCTTAATGTGGCCTTGAAGAGCACATTACGAAATTTGCATCTTAACAAGAAATAACACGATTTTCATGTTATTTCCCAAAATTTTGATATCTCCTAGTTATAGCTTATACAAGGAAAATTGTTAGGATATTTTCGTTTTTTCGCCATTGAGCTTTTTTTTAACAAAAACTCATGATCTGACGAGATTATCTAAAAAAAATGTTGTTGAAGTAAGTCACTTTAAACACATTGACTAATTTTAAAATAACAAAACTATTTGGACGATAACAAGGTTAGTAAAAAGTTAGGATTATTGTAAAAAAAAACAATAACTATGATTCACATTGATATGAGAATATTAAAGAGCATTTAAAATTAAAATCTATACTATTATAATAAAGCGTAAATACACACTTCTTTGTTGCCTATGATGTCAGCAATTACAGCATATTTTTGAGTATTTTTTTTTAATAAAAAGCCCTACGTTAAGCCACGTACGTTACGCTTTAGGCTATATATTTTTACGCCATTAAATTTAGGGGGTAAATATTTTGCATGAAAACCCTAATGTGGGAAACAGATCATAAGTTGCTGCTAACATCAAGAAAGAAAGATTGCTAAGGTTTGTCATGTCATGTCATTTTGACATTTGCTATTGATAATTTGACAAATGTAAACAATAAAATATTTTTTTTATAATTTCATGCGGATAAAGCCGCACGGGAACAGCTAATTAAAAGAATGAAATAAGTTTTATTATTCATTACAAATTATTTTTTCAGTTATAACTGGTTTCCTTATGCCGAAAATTGATGTGGAAATGGATGCAGATCATCCTTTTTTGTTTTATATTATGGCAAAAACACAACAATTGTTTTTCGGGGCATTTTATTGAACGTAACTTAACTCATAATACACAAGTATCACATACAATGAAAAGATAAATTTGAAATATCTAAAAATGTAACAATGCACGGTGTATTTATCGTTTATTTGACTATAAATAAAATTGATTTATTTTGTAAATTGAATTTTATTTTTATTCATTTTAATTAATTTCACTTTAATTAAGTTAATAAATAGTATATAAATTATAACACGGCTAAACTCACGTGATAACATTCGGTGTAGGCACCGACTTAATAAATAGTTTTATCTTATTTGTTTGACGTATAACTTAAACTGAGCTATAACTTTAAGTAAAAGAATTAGATAGGATATATATATTTTAGTGCTTATGAAATTTTTAGGTAATCGGAATGCAAAATTACCTATTTATACAGTTTACAAATGGTTCATTTTTCAGCTCTTCTAATAGAAGTAAATGCCGCTGTACCCGAAGTTAGTTTCAAAGCAGATCATCCCTTCCTTTTTTTTATTATGGCTGGAACACAACAATTGTTTGTGGGAAATTTCTGTTGATGTCTATAGGTATATGAACTCAAATAATGTACAGTACGGAACTTTTAAGTGGTCCGTCGAGCAGAAGAGTAGGACTTATAGTAAAAATTTACCCGAAAAAACCGAAACCGAACTATTTTGTTTTTTAATTATGTTTAGTTTATCAAATACAAAATTAAAACTGTATTTATTGCAACAGCCTTAGTATCTGGCATTAAACGAACACAATTAGATTTAACATCTAAATATTATATGCATACGACAAAGATTATACTCAAAAACCAAAACCCGATAGCCTTGGGATGCATTAGTTCAGTTTCGATTTTGCAAAAGTACCCCGTAAGTCTTACTTGGCTAGCGCGCCAATTAAATGCCACGTACTGTACTTAATTATCACTTCGTCATCAACTAATAAATATTATTAATATTATGTTTCAGCTATATCTATAGTTAATTTATCATTGGTGGAGCCAATAATACTTAAAGCTGACCATCCTTTCCTGTTCTTCGTAATGGGATCAAACCAACAATTGTTCTGTGGAATATTCAACGGCCTTTCATAATTATATGCAATTAAATATACATCATTACAAATAAATATCTAAATAATTTTGTTTTTAATTTTTATGATTGTTTTTTTTTTTTTAGAAAACAACTCAGCTTCTCCTCTTTCTTACATATATAGAGAAACATACAGCTAAATTAAATTTTATTTATTCTTAACAAAGAAACAAATTTGTAATATTAGTACTGAAAATATTAATTACAAAGTACTCTTTAATATCAGTCGTAAACAAGATATAATTACGAAATTAATTGATTTTATGCTTCATAGATTTACATACTTAATTCACTACGAGTGATAATCCTTAGTAGAAAATATTTCAAACATAATGTATAAGTTTGTAAGTTTCAAACATGCGCAGTAAAGTTTACCAGGGTTGGGAACATTCATTCATCCCCTCGTATTTAGTTGAATCGTAATCGTTGCGGGGTCGACACCTATCGCAACGAGGGTCGAAGCGGGCAAACTTTTCCGACGTGACGATTATATTGTTTGAATTTCCAAGTGCAGTGAATATTTTAACGTTTATTAGGGATGTTATGTCTTTTGTTTTATAGATAATTTTGTGTTATTTATTTAAATAATGTGATCCTAAAGTCAGTTATGGAACATGATGGTTTTTATGAAGCGTTTTTCTTAAATGACTCCGAAAGGTTTTTGTGTATAAATGGAAGTGAAGCTTTGGACTCTACTTTTAGTTGTATATATACAATTGGCAACTTATGTAAATGGAAATACGGGAAAAGGTAAATATTTCACGTATTTATAAGAAGCGAAGTTGAGACTTGGCTCCAATATATGTCCTGTTGTAGAAATTTTTTACATGCAAATTCTATTTATATTATGAGGTTACTTTTCTTATAAGATTCAATAAAAAAAATATAAGATGTTATGCTTTGCAATAAAATTAATTGTAAACGGTTACACATTTCTGTAAGTTTTATCGACAATCGAATTATTATAAACTCTCATAACATCATTTGTAGATTTCCATCAACAAGATGACAATGGACCAAAAATTAACGTCAAGGACAGTATAAATCGGAAGCCTCTAGAACTTTCAAATCCAAACAATGAGGCGAGAGATTATTTCTTATCACCAGTATTCCCGAACAATGATGAAACTGATGAAGAAGATGAGGATGATGAACATTCGTACTTAGATTATGATTATAAAGATGCGAATTACAAAGACACGTCAGAGGTCGCTGCTAACCCACAAGATGTTTTACCCGTTGATGACAAAATACCTCTACATACGACCAAAGACAATCTTCCCATTTTTCTGTTAGAACCCGAGAATACTTATGTCGTTAAAAATAAAGCAGCCACGTTGAAATGTCGCGCCGCCAATGCTTTAGATGTGAGTAGAATTTTTACAAGCAATAAAATTGTTTATGTCTTATAAATTGTGGAATCCAAACTAGAAGTTAGTTTTGCTTTATTAAGAGTTTTTTAACTGCTTTTTGTATTTGATTAAAAAACGGCCATTGTAGAGTGTTTAGATAAAAATGGATGATGTGATAGTCGATACGATAGTCGATTGTTTCACAGAAAATTCAGCTGTTCCGTTGCACTACTAAAAATTGAGTAGTGTGCGCACATCCATATGAGATCTTAAGAATCAAAGCGAGACAGTTGTGCGATAGTTTAATTTCAGATGTGCGCACGCCCTAAGTGTGTATTTAAAACAAATTCCTTTTGAAGGTATACTTTAAATGTAACGGTGAGAAAACTCAAGCTGTGAACTTCGAGTTCGTTGACCCACAAACGGGGGTAAGGATCATCGAGGGTGAACACGAGGTGACGAGGGAGCAGGTCGAAGAGTACTTCGGTAGTGAGAAGTACCAGTGCTCCTGTTTCGCGTGGACCAGTCAGGGTCAAATCAGGAGTCAGCCTGCCACCATAGAACTAGCTTGTGAGTTAAGATTTCTAGTCTTCATTTACTATATCAACTATCAACCAACTGCTTCCGCGGATAAGCAACTTTTATGTGTTATTGACTAAGCTTAAAACTTCACTGATATCTTTTATCTTACAGTTCTCAAGTGAAAATATGTTTCCCAGACATGGAGGTTTCATTAACGATGTTCCTCCGTTAAGTACGTCGTAAATCGGGACATAAAATTGTCTTAAGAGAGAAGGGGAGATTGGGGACAATCGACAGTAGCATGTTACAGTAAATACCATATACTGTAGCATATTTTATTCTATATGACGTTCATAAAGAATATTAGATCACCAGTACAATAAAACATGGGCATGTAGGAGGGATGAATCGCATGTAACAAGGGGACCGTTAGTTACGACTGTGGAGGCACACCGGTAGCGGTAGACCTGGAAAGAGATGGATTGCGTGAAAGGTGACATGAACGAGAAGGAAGTGATGACTGAGATGACGTATGATAGAGTTATGTGGAAACCTATTGCGCCGCCGGGAGTAGGATCATGATAGTATAATAAAACAGCTTATCGTAACTTCCAGAGAAGCTAACACAATAACAAATATTTGTGGCTTAAAAACCTCTTGTGATGTACCGAAATTTGCCTACCTTCCCGAGGAAACTTAAGGTGTGTTGTTATTGTAATATAACTCTTCTGTCTTTAGATATAAAGAAACATTTCTCAGTATCACCGCAATCACAATTGGTGAAGCAATACTCATCAGTAACATTCCGCTGTGAGCCGCCACCTGCAGCACCATTCGCCCAACTATATTGGCTTAAAAACGGTGCCCCGGTGGTCGTAGATGACAATGTTCAAATCAAAGAAGGTGAATTGGTCATCAAACAAGCATCTCTATTGGTAAGTGTAGTAAAGAATTAATTGACATTAAATTATTCTGAGTTCCGCATTGTTATTTCAAATCATATTATACTCTAACTCTTATTCTGACAAAGTTTAATGTTTGTACTAACAGTGGTTTATAACTTTTTAATTAAAGCAGAAGTACTTAATTGATAAATATTCCGATCATTTAACATCCAAAATAAACCATATTCGCCAGAATTAAAAACAAAAAGAATCAGTTAATTAGACAATATTGTTAAATTGTATCAAATGTAAACCTCGTACAAATAAAAATTATATCAACTCGTAAAATCTAGTAAAACAAAGGTTTAAAATTTATCAGTAACAAAAACCATATTCGTAGCGAAAATATTAATTACATCCGTATTTTTAAGCCCGCATTCTGTTACGCTTTTGTTCGCGGATTGCGATTATTTATTCAAATATGTGAGCGTTTCTGAGTTTTTTACGGTCACTGAAATGAATTTCCGGTTCCACGGTACAATAAGTTCTATAAATGTACGCTTTTGTGTATTTCTTTTTAAATGTTCTTTACATTTTCATTGACATTGACCATCTTCAAATTGTAAGAATATACACTTGAGAAAATTTTCAGAAATTAAATTTCAAGTGTATTTTGTTCAATACATTGTAATAAATACATCATTCCAAATAACTTTTTGTTGAATAAAATGTATTGGAATTTTCTGTTATTGGAACATTAACATTAACATTTCTGTTATTCATTATTGGAACATTTATAGTGTTTTTTTTTTGTCCCTGCTGATTTTTAAGATATGCAATATCAAATATTGTTAAACAAAAAGATGGAAAAGAAACATTTGTTTCAGTTACGTAATTTTGAAAATACCGTACCGTTACTCAACAATGTAGCCTTTACAAAATAAGGTCGCTTACAAAATTGACTGTAATCGAGCGGAGCTCATATTGTATGAGCTTCAAGTACCGCCGTCCGTCTAGACTAAAGGCTGTTTTCAGGATATGGCGAACTACACCTGCGTCGCCGAAAATTTAGCCGGGAAACGAATGTCGGAGCCCGCGTTATTAACAGTTTTCGGTAAGTGAAGGACATGTGACGTCACAATGCTTTTTCTTGTTTATTTTTTTAATAATAATATAGATATGTTCTTTTATATTAAGAATAGCTTTCGCGACTCCATCCGCTTGGAACTAAACAATATCAAAAGTGAGTAGTCTGTGTTTTTCTAGACTATCCTCTACATTTTTACTAAATTTCATTGAAATCCTTTCAGCATTTAGGCTATAAACTCTAACAAGCATCCATCTTAACTTTCGCATTCGTAAGATTCATTCTTTTTAAATTAAAAAACGATATGCAAGTTAAACAACGGACTTTGAATTTAGGAGTCCCGGTCACAGCGTGTATTCGTCATAACCTAGCTATACTTCCAGTAAACGGTGGGTGGACAGCATGGTCTACTTGGACTGACTGCTACTGCTCAGGGCAGGGGGGGCGTGAGAGCCGCGAGGGGCGCGCGGGGCGCCGGCGGGAGAGGAGCTGCACCGCACCACGACCTCTCAACGGAGGACAGCCTTGTATCGGACCCAGTGTGCAGAAGACACAGGATTGCATTGATTGTGATTTAGGTAAGGATACGCAAGGTAGAATTAGAAGAGGCATTCCAAAATTATAAGTTGCTAAAATTGGTCATAGAATTGATAATTCTTTTTGTAATTATATAATGGTGAGGAAACCCGACCAGTGATTAATTAAAGACTCAAACAGAAGTTAGGACTTTAAAGTTGTTTTAGAAAATTGCTAAGTTTTGATGTTGATATCTATAGTTTTGTAAAAGATTGAATAATATGTACTAAAAGTTTATTTCACTTTACAACCTATATAAGTTTTATGTCAAAGCATTGGTAGTTCATGTTACATCCGTATTCGCATAAAGGCACACATAAAGGTCTATTAGAAGCAACTTTTGTAGGCTGCGCGCATTTATGGCGCGGAAATGGAACTCAACATGTTTTTCAACGGAGAAAGCCGGTTCCTCGCAACTTAGCTATTTGGGTCGTCGAATTATTCCTTTCCAAGTTTCGACATGAAATGCGAAATATAGAACAAAAATCAGATACATGAAACTTTACTATTCAATAAAAGCTTTTCATAATAAATTTTTCATGACTGCTACTCTGTTAGAATTTTTTATTTCTGTTTCCAAAACTGTCATTAAGTATATTGTTAATATTGAAGTGTTTAAATAATTATAATTAATAGGAAAGAAATTTGTAGATGTTTACGTCGATGGACTGGACGAGTTAGCTGACGAATCTTCCGACATTGTACTTGGTATGTTATTTTTTTAATTTCTTACTTCTTCTAGCTTTAGTATGTAATTAACAAAAGTTTTCTAAACCAGGTTTACTGACTTATAAGCGTGCTCCAAAACCTAATTGAAGCTGACAATAAATTTCTACAACATTAAAAAAATTTCACAGCATTAAAAAAAATAAGCAAAACACCCTATATTTTTAAGACATATACAAACGCAGAAATCTATCCTAATTTCAATACAAATTAAGTTTTTTCTTTATTTCCTCGAGGTTATAGAGTGTCTTTTTTAGGACGATGGTCACAATGGTCGGAATGGTCAAGATGTGATACAGACTGTCTCCAGACTAGACGACGTCGGTGTCTGACCACCACAGCCTGCTTGGGGAAGGATTATCAAGTAGCACAATGCACACATTGCGTTAGAACTTCTAAATCTGAAATCATCACTGACGGTTTGTTAATGTGTAGCGATTTCTTTTTAAATTTTTGTGCATTTTATATAATTACTATTTCATTTTTAGCGTCATCGTACTGGCCGTTATTCATAGCATTGTCTATTGCATTTCTTATATTCATAATCGTTGTTGTATTGGGTATAAAATATATGAAGTTTAAAATTACGGAGAATTCGCCATACGTCAAACCACCTCCAGGTATGTTTAATTTTTTTTATAAGTAAAGATATTTGCTCCCTACTTTATGACTAATCAAATGATGTACTTTTTTATTATTGTAATAGGGTAGATACTGATTCATTTTATTATGAGTCATGATACACAAACATACTAATGTATTTGTACCCAATGTATGTAAACAGGGGTTATAATTGCTACTTTGAAAAGGTCATTCCGTAATTGTTGCTGTATTAAATACAATAGGGGAGATTATCCCCAAATATTGAATATTTATCAGAAAATAATTAAGATTTATTTTAAACACATGATTATCAATTTTGATTTAATCTATTCAAAAACTGTAATTAGTAGAAGCAGTAGAAAACTTTATGAATGTATACTTTTTTTTATGATATAAGGTGGCAAACGAGCAAGCGGCCACGTGAATGCACCGAAATTGAAAGCGACCGCTGTCTATAAACATCCGCAATTGCAGATGCGTTGCCTACCCTTAGTTAACGGAGGAGAAGACGCACATAAAGAGGATATTACCCCTTCCTAAGCGCCTCCTCCGCCGTCAAATCCACTTTTCCTTCCCATCCTTTCCTCTTTAAAAAAGGATGGAAAGGGAAAGGGACTAAAATTGGACCTCCCTCACCACACTCATCAGACGAAACGCGGAATCGCTTCCACTTCACGCCTGTTTTCTGTGTGGTCGTTGTATTACACCGTGCGAGCCGGCCCATTCGTGCGAAGATGTTAAAGCGGGCTCTACCACTGATAGTGGCTTATGTTACTTATGTTAATAGTGACTCTTTTATCAAGGTACACAATATTTTGGTAGCGTTCTAAAAAGGACGCTGACCAATCAACCGGATCTGACTATACATGAAGAGTTTCATACATTAGACTCTAGACGAACTCGCCGACATACAAGTGCTTCAAGTAATCCACGCAATGAACATTTGTATGAAGTCCCGCAGTTAGCCAATAGGTGAGTCTTTCTCTTTTATTGTCTTTAATTCTACTTCAAATGTTTCAAAAGTGTGTTTAATTCTTCCTTGTTTCTGTCTTTTAATTCACAGTTCACTATCTTTCTTCCTCTCTATGGGCTTCTTTCTCAATACTAAATTTTATTCTCTTCTTAAGCAGATACTCTTTAACACAATCCATCCATACTCTCTTCGTTCTTCCTCTACCTTTGTTACCATCCACATTCACTCTTAAAACTTTCTTATTTATGTTATCGTCTCCTCCGCATAATATATCCATACCACTCTAATTAGGATCGAAATTATTCTTGCAAAATATTGTATGGACATTTCACTTCCATTGCATATTCAATGTTGTATTTCATTTACACCAATTCCAAAACATTAAGTTATTGAAGGATCAGATTGAAAATTTGCATGTTATTACGATCTTGATAGGATTCAAATGCCATTCAATATTCATGTTTCCATATGCAAATGACGATCGGCCAGCGATAGTACATATTTGTAATTAATTAGTGAATACGGTACATTGCGATATGGATCTCTGCGGATTGCTGCAATACCGGCGTGTCGTAATGAGGGATTTATTTTATCGCCACTTGTTTAAATGTTAATGAAACGATTGTAACGCGGAAAGCATTTTTGGTCCCGATTGTTTAATTGTTGTCAGTATTTTTGTTAATTGCAAATGTCTAGACGGTTAATCAATATTTAACTTTAACGTTATTAAGGGTCTGTCCCAACAAATTGTAAATTGTCTGATAATAATCGAACGTGTAAATAATATACAATAAGTAAATAAAATACATTACAAATCATTTCTAATAATTTATATACATTGCGTAAAAAGGGGTAGATTAGTAGTATGAATGTATAACATTCTAGTTTATTTATTATCTGTAAAAGGTTACTTAAATACTTTAATATTTCCAGCTATATCTCGCCAATCGATCACGAGGTAAGAACCGAGCGTACAGCCAGCGAAAGGAATTACGCTTGCAAGGATAACGTGGAGTCAGATCGATCTGATTCCAGCTGCTTTTTGAGCTGTGAGTCTTGTACTTTGCACTGGCTATGCATAAGTTGACTGAATATATATCCGATTTTAGGATCATTGAAAAGATCCGCCAACAACCTTAATTTGCACAAAGTTACAAAACTATTAAGGCCTTTATTAACTTTGTAAATGAATCTCTTTGTTCGTTTATTGTTATTTCGTTAAATATATGTTCTGTCAACTTAACAGCTTTGAGCTTTTCAACTGTTTCAGACTTATTATCAGTATTTGAATTAATATATCTAATTTCAGCCGGTTCATCGTATGGTAATGAGAGTATAGAAATGTCACCATCTTTAAAAAACAACGCATCAGTCGATTCTAAATATCTCGGTATAAACTATTTGGAAACAGCAACATCTAAAATGATCGCAAGTGATGGAGATTGGTTGAATTTAGAGAAATGTGGTGTCAGCTTATTTGTTCCTGATGGTGTCGTCGATAAGGGGGAAGAATTATTCTCTTTAGAAGTTACTGATGAAGAATGGAATCGACCAATACTACAAGAAGGTAAAAATAAATATTAAAAAAGTAGTTTAAGGAGGTAATAACGAACTCAAGATTTATTAAACTCTTAAAACTGGTTACCATTTATTATTTTTAAAAATAAATTGTATCTAATCTTCTAGTTGATATTAAAAATAACGATTAAGGTTCTAACAAAGGTCGATCTCAGACGGTCTGTTTGTTGAATGTCTTTTCACTAGCGACGTGAATAGCGGTGTAAGAGAAGTGTTTGCTCAGAGGTCTGCAGTCTAACAAATGTGTACTGCGAGTCGGACTTCAATGCCTATTCGCAAGTCGAGATGAAAATGTCAGAACACAATATGATGTATTGTTGAATAGTTCAGAAGTGATAATTTTTCTATGGATTCTTTGGAATTCATTCTTCTAGATTCATTCTACAAAATTGTTAGACTGAGTATTCACAAGATTTTTGATTTTACTTATATTAATATTGTAAAACAGTTCAATGGTCATTTCACTTTAGTTCCTATCTAATGTTAAATCTATTTCAAAACTTGAATGAAACTTTAAAAAACAATTTTTAAAAGGAATTTTCTAAGTAGAGCGATAACTTAAATAGTTTGGTCTACTATAAGTCTGGTATATTCTTGTCTATTGTTAAGTTTGTCGACGAAACTCGAACAGGCTTGCGAGCGGACAGTATGACCTCAATTTTGAATGTCAGCTTCCGATCTATGTTGGTATAAGATATTTTAATTTTAGGTCAAATAATTTGACCTTTATGTATAGTGAATTTATTTTAGTAATAAACGAACTAAAGATAACAAATATCGTATTAATATTTATGATTTTTTTTTTATCTTACTAGACTTTCAATGTATGTCACAGTCCTTTGTTTATGGCATAGAATAATCTCAAACATTTCGTTTAATTAAATTAACTTGTACTGTTTCATGTCTTACAACAGGCGAGATACAACTTAGTCCAGTTATAAGATGCTGCCCCAAGAATTTCCACTTCCGCAAGGGCGTCATCTTGTCGTTCCCGCACTGCGCCGCCCTCAAGAACACCAGCTGGCTGCTATCGATCCTGCAGCGGCCCGAAGACACCAACTCCAGGGAGTGGAGGAAAGTTTTGACGCTCGGCCAAGAGACACCCGGCAGCCCGATATTCGCACAAGTCGACCCCACCAAAGTTTACTTAGTATGCGAATTCTTGACTGACTTCGTTATGGTCGGGCAAAGTTTCAACGGACTGGACGCGAAGTTGCTCAGGGTCGGACTCTTCATTGCTAAACGAAGTGACGATAGTTTTTATAATTTGAACGTTCACGTGTTTAACGATACTCCGTTCGCGTTCTACGATTGCGTTGAGACTGAAAGACGATCTGGTGGTTACTTGCTCTGTGAACCGAAGACTGTACACTTCCAAGAGAACGCTTCCGATCTTTGTTTAAACATCAGAGATGTCGGCGTCGGATGGAAGATACAGACAGGGGGGACGTATCAGGAAATCTCGTACACACACATTTGGAATATGACTGTACATTCATTGCATTCAATGTTCGTTTTACAACAACTAGATTCAATAAACTGTTTGGAATTGAGTATATCGATTTACCAGAAACAAAAACAATCGAATTCGGTCAATTTCAATCTTAAAACGAACGATTTGAATTCTAATTTCTATAGCAGTAAGCGTTATAGCTACTCCGGCTTAGAGAATGGGTATACCGTTAATATAGTAGAGAATCCCTTTAATTACTCATCGCTGTCTAAGAAGGAAGGTCGTTATGATTTTGTTTACAAAAACAACAATGCTTTAAGAAACAATTTTCATTCTGACAATAATTTTTATAGATGTAACGTGCTGACTAAATCTGATAGAGTTATATTGTGTAAGCTTCTTGATACGCAATCGTCGAAGGGCAACGACTGGAGATTGTTGGCTGAGAAATTGAAGATCACTTCGTATTATTACTATTTCTCTAATACTTGTTCTCCGACTGAGAATATCCTAAATTTATGGATGTGCAGAAACAACGATGTTAATATGCTTGTCAATTTATCGAGAATCTTTAGAGAAATGTCTAGAATCGATTGCGCTACTGTTGTTGAAAGGCGTTGTTTTACTAATTAAAGATTTTTAATTTTTATTTGTCGATTAAAATGAAATAATAAACAATAATTTGTTAATGAAAAATAGATTTGCTTTAAATTTTAAGTACGTGTAAACATGTACTTATTAAAATGCGTAATATTAACGTAAATACAGTTAAGTTAAAGTGAAAATTAAAAATTGAATATTGTAAATTTGTCGGTCAATAAAAACTTTACTAATCAGTTTACTTTATGATTTTCCAAAAATACTTCAGTAAAAACTTTATAACCAAAATTGTTATAAAAGTCATAGAAATTATTTAGATGAAAACAAATTTTTTATTAGTAAAAAAAAATCACACAGCCTTTTTTACGATTAAACTGGTAATGCTAGAATTATTGAATTATTTTAAGATGTTCTAAAATTTGTTATAGAGTTCACGATGTAGTGACATTACCTTGTTTATTATGATCGAGAGAATTTAAATTTTAAATCATTCTTTCACAAAATGAGACAGCAATATTAGACGAAGATTGTAACAAGATTCTCTCGTTTTTAATAACATTTGGATGAATGTTTTCCTGGTATTCGTTTTTTTAAACGACAAAAAGTTTTCAATGGAAAGATAATTAAATAACCGTCACTTAATATTAAAATAATGGAGACACAAACTTGGAAAACTAAATATCAGGAGAACTTTGTAACACGCTGTATAGGAACGTAATTTTTTATCAGAAGGGTACATATGTTTGAAAAACATTAGTGTTGTACATGAACCAATGTATTGTTTACATAAGGAAATTTGAAAATGATTTTAGTAGTGGTTTAAACATTTTTTCAAATAAAGATATATAATTATATGAGTTTTTTTATTAACGTCCAACATAATGGGTAACTACCCGTAGAATTAAAATAGTTTATTTAGAAAAAAAAACAATGAAACGTATTTATTAAAACACAATAACCGCTTGGTACTCTTATTTCAATTAAAGTTTAACTGTCCGTCAATACCGTACTAAAAACAATCTGCTAACAACCGAGACAACACGCTTTAAATTGCCATAACATTTGCACGAAAACATACTATTTTTTGGCAATGGAAAACACAGCAAAATTGTTATCAACTGTATCAAGACAGCTTGGTCTACGATATAAAAATACAAACGAGAAAAGTTTTAAAAAACTTACAAGCTATAAAACTTATAATATGGTGAGTTAACATCAATATACGAATATCTCAAACATATAAATGTAAGAATTCCCAATAACATCCTGTTATTCATACTATAATATTCCTACGTACCCTGACCCAGTTGCTGAGTATTCAAGTATTAACGCTAGGGCGGTGCGAGCGGCGGCGATTGCATCGGTTAATAATTGAGACCTCGCTCCTGCATTACTACGTATTGAAACACCGCTCAAGTTATAAGCTTCTAACATTTTTGGAAAAAAAAAATAGACAAGGATTTTATATTCACATAGACCGTAGAAGAAAATCATTTGAAGTTGACTTCAGCACAGAAGATGCAGAAAAAGCAGCATTACGCTTGTTTTTAGGAAACTAACATCTAACTGAAATTAGACGTCCTCTATTATTCAGAGGAAAATTTAGAAGCCATTTATACCTTAGTTAAAATCGGCTTAGTCGCTTAGATTATAAAAGGCTACAATGGAAAAGACATATGAAAAATACATACCCGTGAAAAAATATAGTCCGGTAAAAACGCTATCGCTTATAACTTGCAAAGGAGACAACAGTTTCAGGTGTTCCTTTCCGTTTCACTAAAGAATGCCCTTAATAAAGATGAGGGTGTAACTCCGATGCCCTAACTGTGTGCTGGCGGTAAATTGAATATTTGTAATATTCATGTAACATAAATTTAACTGATAATTATTTTTGTAAATCAAAATTATTCTATACTAATATTATATAGTATTTTATCTTTTCTTTTTACTCTTATTACGCTTTATAATTTTTATGTAACACTATAGAGAGGATAGTTTTGTATTTTTCTATGTATTGAAATAACTCAAAAACTGCTATACGCCAATTTTATAAATTCTTTCACCATCAGAAAAGTAATTTATCTGTGAGTAACATAGGCTATATTTTTTAATTTCGCACGGGCGAGGTCGCGAGCAACAGCTAGTTATTTATAAAGTGTTTTTAACTAACCAAATAGTTTGATTTTAAACAAAAAAACAAGTGAGCTGTAATTTAATTTAATTTAATACTTTGTTTTATTATGTTCAAAGTAATCAAAATAAGTTAAGTATCGAGACGTCGATGTTAAGTTAATTGAAAGTTGTATCAAACAATCGGTCTGTGTGCCCGCGCCGGATATCCTGTTCAAGTTGTTGCGAAATGGCGCCGGCCAATTGAAAGGATCTAAATCGAGATAAAAGAGAAATTCAAGAATATTAGCTTAGAAACTTCTTATCATTTATTGTTAGAAACTACTAGCTGTTGCTCGCGACTTCGCCCCCGAGAAATTAAATAAATAATGAAAAAAATAGGCTATGTTACTCATTGATAACATATGCAGCTTTTTAATGCTGAATTTTTTTTTAAATCGGCCCAGTAATTTTTGAGCTATTTCAATGTATACAAAAATACAAATCTTTCCTCTTTATAATATTAGTATACATAATCTATTTTAGATTGTCTTTGTTGTCTTTCTTGCAATTAAAAAAGTAATAAATACAAAATGAACTCAACATTTCAAGAATAATTAAAACAGTAACTTATATCAAGTAGAAAGTAATATAATGTACAAGGCATTGTGCATACGCTATTGTTTCGCGTTTTTGTTTCAACGTAGCAATTATTTGGGTTCTCAAAACCTACATTTTACTTTACATGCATTAAATGCAGCACAACGCAACGCAGCCGGGGGCATGTCACACTAACAACAAAAAGAACTCGTTGTTTATGCAACTTACATATATTTTTTTTCATAGCGAATATAATCCCACGGCATAAAGTATAAAAGAAAACGGCTCACTTATCCTATAATGAACGCATTAACGGACAGCTTTATAATGACAATTAAAAGAAAATCAAATTGTTACACTCTTATTCAAGGTGGGGATGTAGTTAAGACCCCTACACACGCTTTGTTTTAGCTGACAATTTTAAACAGTCGAATGGTTCATATAAATCAGATAAATCTAGAAAAAATAATAAAACTGTCAGATAAAACTGCGCGTGTAGAGAGGGCTTTAAATTCAATCTTACTAATATTATAAATAGGAATATTTAGATATATATAGATAGTTGGATGGATGTTTGGTACAGCTTGTAGCCTATACTGCTGAACGAATCTCGATGAAATTTGTCATAGATATAGAGAATAGACTGGAAGAACACATAGGCTACTTGCTTTTTAGTTTCTAACTCGACGTGGACGTAGTCGCGGACGAATATTAGTTATAGAATAGAGCCCGTGATTTATAATGACATATTAAAAACCTAACATACCAGAGTCACATAACTACGTCGTAACTTTAATGTTGAGTACTGTGACGTACTAAACAGTACTGAGTGACAGATGAGTTCTTGGGAGGAAACTTATAACAAGTGTAAGCTCAGGGCCGTACTTGCGAGGTGTCTGCACCTTGACCGGTCGACTGCGGCTCTGTTTGAAGTCCTCCTGTTAGCGAGAGAGCTATGAGGAGGCCTCTAATTGGAGGGCGCTTAGTTCACGAGCCCTCCACTTCTTATAAAGAACCAGCTATGGTTGGCATTATAAAGGTGTCACCACATTACAGTGTTTCCCACCAATATTTATTTGAATTAAGCATTATAATATTCTGAATGAACTTATTTTATGTTTCTACAAACATTAATATTTATTGTTCAGTTCTTTCATCAAGAGCAATAAGAAATAAATGTGGTTTAAAGGACTAAACTAAACTAACAAACCTATGTGAAGTATGTTAAGGTACAAAGGTAAGATATTTGGTTAATATAAGTAGTATTAAGTATTCTAAGTAGATGTAGTAGTGTATAGTAGACATAGGAGCGCAAGTAGTGTGCCCACCTAAGTTACATGCGTGAGAGTTATGTTGTTTATTCTAAGTTAAATGTTTAAAATAGTATCTAGTTTTTTTATTGACATTGGGTTTACTAAAATAAAATTATATACTTTGAAAAATTCAATCATTTTAGATAGAGTTTTTCTACTTTTTAAATATTGCCACTCTAGTGAATGTATACCCTTAGATTCAACCCTTACCCTGCGCTTTGTTGAACAACATTACAAATCAATTCGTGACAGTAGCGGTTGGTACAAGTTTAATAAATTCTCATAAAACGAGAAGAATTCATTCTATCAATTGTGTATTAAAAACAGATGAAATGAGAACGTAAAAACTCACATACCACTCATTTTGTTATCCTAATGTTTATTACTCTGTTAAAAATATGAAAACAATTGATTAGGTAAACTGGACTAAATCCAGATATTATTAACAGTTATCTTATTACTTAACGATAAATAGAAAACACAAATTTAATAAAAACGTATAAAAGACAAGTTAAAATAATGATTTTTATGTGTACAACAAGTAACAAGTAACAAGTATGTGTGTAACAAGTAATGTTGCAAATCATACTTTCATACTTAATATCATAAATGCGAAAGTTTAGATGGATGGATGGATGGATGTTTGTTAGAGTTTGCTAAACGGCTAAACAGATTTCAATGAAATTTGGTATAGAGGTAGAGGATAGTCTGGAAGAACACAGGCTACGCACTATTGTTTTTTTTTTAAATTCTATGTGGATGGAATCGCAGGCGAAAGCTAATAATAACAATAATTGTAAGCTATACAAACTGTCAGGAATAAATCGACCGAAAATATAGCAAATCTATAAGGTGATAAGCTCTTGAGAGAGAAGACAAAGTACGATAATTTCCCATAGAGAGTACAATGGTATAACAAATCGTGCTTTTAACACCTTGTTCTGCGCCATTAGGGACTACTTTTGTGACCGGGGTCGGGTCTTGGCTGATTTATAATCTTCAATCAAATCAGTGTTGCGGAAAGGATAAG